GAGGGGAGCTGGTGCTGTGTAGTGAGGGGAGCTGGTGCTGTGTAGTGAGGGGAGCTGGTGCTGTGTAGTGAGGGGAGCTGGTGCTGTGTAGTGAGGGGAGCTGGTGCTGTGTAGTGAGGGGAGCTGGTGCTGTGTAGTGAGGGGAGCTGGTGCTGTGTAGTGAGGGGAGTCGTTCAGAATTAAGTTTATCAGAGGGTCGCTGATAAACTTAAGTGAGACGTCATATTAACTAATGAAATTAGATCCGTCAATCCTAGAAGGATTTAATTGGAAATAAATCATGACACTTGTGTTCCCTCCTGCTCTTGTGATCATTTAGTATTATTATTATATATATTATAGCAACAACTCAAGCTATTATTCCAGTTTTGGCGGGATTAGGGGACAGAAATGCCGTCTAAAATTGCCCGAGTTATTGCAACGGGAAAAGGAAATATGTATATTCTTGATGGAATTAACCAAGTTACTTGATAAGTATTATTATTAATTTCATTCAATGTTATTTAATATCTTTATTTACAGGATATGTCCATCGGAATTTCGGGTGCCAATTCTGTGAGAATATGTTGTTAAGAAAAAATCCTAAGCTTGCAAGACCTAAGTCCTAAGCACACCACACGAGTCCTAAGCTTACATCGATCCCATACCACACGAGTCCTAAGCCTACATCGATCCCACACCACACGAGTCCTAAGCCTACATCGATCCCACACCTCACGAGTCCTAAGCCTACATCGATCCCACACCACACGAGTCCTAAGCTTACATCGATCCCACACCTCACGAGTCCTATGCCTACATCGATCCCACAAGACACGAGTCCTAAGCTCACATATAGATCATCGATCCCACACCGCACGAGTCCGAAGCTTACGTCGATCCCACACCTCACGAGTACTAAGCCTACATCGATCCCACACCACACGAGTCCTAAGCTCACATATAGATGCTTACGTCGATCCCACACCTCACGAGTACTAAGCCTACATCGATCCCACACCACACGAGTCCTAAGCTCACATATAGATCATCGATCCCACACCACACGAGTCCGAAGCTTACGCCGATCCCACACCACATGAGTCCTAAGCTCACATATAGATCATAGATCCCACACCACACGAGTCCTAAGCTTACGTCGATCCCACACCACACGAGTCCTAAGCTCACATATAGATCATAGATCCCACACCACATGAGTCCGAATTCCTAGTCCCCGGTCACGCTGATGCGCCACCTTCGTCGTCCTCCGTCTCCGAGTCCTCGTCGGATGTAACGTTGGACGTGTTCCGTCTATTTGCCCTCCTTTGGGCCACCTGATGCAAGATGCTGTTGCTTGTCACTTGCTGAAGGTAATTTCCCATTAGCCTTACACCTCATAAGTCATAAGGCTGCATTGATCTTGCACCTCGCAAAATCACTTCTTCTTCGTGGTGATTTCTCACAAGCCTGCTACCTTCGCATGCAGAACTTATCTCTCATCTCACATAACAATCCTGCTACCGACGCATGCAGAACTTATCTTTCTTCTCACATAACAATCCTGCTACCGACGCATGCAGAACTTATCTTTCTTCTCACATAAAAATCCTGCTACCGACGCATGCAGAACTTATTTTTATTCAGTGTTAGATACAAAATATAACAACCACTGCACAATAATTTACGTTGTTCACCTTGTTTTGGCTGGGACTCTGCGCTGACGTTCCCTCCGATGTCAGCAACTACGGCGACCTCGAGGCACTGGTCGGTGTCAGCCAGCAGGTACCTGTGAAGGAACCGTCGCAAGTAGAATTGGGATCTCACTTAATAATTTGGTAGTCGCTTTCGATGCTATAAAATACATTTTCCTCTATACTAGTTTATTATTTAACATAAAAACTAGACTTGCAGCAACAACTAACACTTTGTATTGGAAAGCCTGTGGATTTAGAAGAAAGCGATACTAGTTTACTAGTGTAATAAGACACAAAAGAAATTAGATGGGCCAGAAATTTTCTAAGTCAAGCCAGATTATCTTGACGTTTCATCAAGTTAATTACTAGTACACAGGTTAGTATAATACGTATTACATATGATACTAACACACAAAAAGCTTTTATAAGTAGTAAAATAACCCCAGTGCATTCGTTTTTTCAATTGTGATGACCGTAACTCATTAAGAGCACTGCGTTATTGTAGGTAATTGTTTACTTAGATAGGTATTATAAATTATGGTTTAAATAAACCCCTGCTATTTGTTTTACTGAGTTAATTCAACAATTCTTGTAGAGAATTTTAATTTTTCGAGCTATTCATCTGCAGCTCGAATTGTGCACTAGAATCACTGCAGTAAGAAAATATTTTACCAAAACTTGAACAGTATCCTGAGTTTTCTACGCATTTTTTCCCTTCCGTTATTAGCTTCACTGATGGAAAGTTTTGGTGGATTACAGAGGATCCAGCCTAGTCTCATCACTGCACTCAAATAAATCGGGGAAATTCCATTCGAAGAAAGACACACTTTTACCCTCCCGTTAGTCAAGTTGACCCAGTTACGTATGCCCCAAAAAAACGTATCAGTGCTACATCCTCTTTCTGCTCGTTCTGAGGGAAAGTGGGTCAAAATTTGGTTAAATTGACACATTAATTGTTTGAGTGGCAGACTCAATCTGGGCTTACACTTTCAAAAAAAGTTAAGAGATCGTAAGTTCATCAGCCAATCATTGACGGCCTTTCAAGCCAAATCCACCAATCATAGACTAGAAAATCGAGCGTAGGTACTTACGTTCACTTAGACTGTTTTTAATGTATGGCCCGAAGAACTTCAGGCGAGGCTGTCCCCGCACATCCAACAAAGATAATTCTAATTATAAAGATGCAGTTAATCGTTAAAATAACAATATTTAATTATCCTTAGATGTTTCGGTACCTGAAACTCAGTACCCTGGCTGGTCCAGGGGGCAGTACGGCGCTTACAAGGTCCGCGGCACCAGCGATACCAGGCAGGGTTACCACACCAGCATGGTACTTCTGAGACCCATCACCTGAAGGTGGAACAACAGGGGCACTGTTCAGTGGGACAAATGAACATTTTCGAAGCAGAAAGAAATAAAAAATGAATGGAATAGATATCATTTTGCTATTACAATACGTACTACGAAGAAGAAAGGACAAATGAACATTTTTGCAGCGGAAAGAGAGAAAAACGAATGGAAAAAATGCCTTTTGGCTATTGCAATACGTACTACGAAAAAGAAAACAATGTTTTGTGACAAATCCTTTACCGAAGTAATGGGACAGGGGCTGGTAATTTTCATATCGTATATACCAGGCTCCGGGCGGTCCATACTCTTAATTTAAATAAGAACGTATAACGCGATTCCAGGAAAATTTTACTCCATAAATTTAATTCAAAACCTTGATTAATATTACAGCGTCGCTCCAGGAGGATATCACAAGACACTTGCGGAGAGGAGAGGTAGGATGAGATGAAAGTTTTTTACTTAGGATAATGTGAATGTCAGTAAATCTATTGTACATATCAGCAAATCTAATGTGAATGTCAGAATATCTAATGTGAATGTCAAAAAATTTAAGGTGAATGTCAAAAAATCTAATGTGAATGCCAGCGAATCTAATGTAAATGTCAAAAAATCTAATGTGAATGTCAGATAATATAATGTGAATGTCAGAAAATCTAATGTGAATGTCAGAAAATCTAATGTGTAAATATCAGAAAATCTAATGTGAATGCCAGAAAATCTAATGTGAATGTCAGAAAATCTAGTGTGAATGTCAGAAAATATAATGTGAATGTCAGAAAATATAATATGAATGTCAGAAAATTTAATGTGAATGTCAAAAAATCTAATGTGAATGTCAGATAATATAATGTGAATGTCAGAAAATCTAATGTGAATGTCAGAAAATCTAATGGGTAAATGTCAGAAAATCTAATGTGAATGTCAGAAAATCTAAGGTGAATGTCAGAAAATCTAGTGTGAATGCCAGAAAATATAATGTGAATGTCAGATAATCTAATGTGAATGCCAGCAAATATAATATGACAATCAGCACATATAATATCGATGTTTTCGAATGTGTTTCGAATGTCAGTTAATCTACTATGAATATCAGCATATATAATATGAATGTCAGTGAATCTATTGTACATATCAGCAAATCTAATGTGAATGTCAGAATATCTAATGTGAATGTCAAAAAATTTATTGTGAATGTCAAAAAATCTAATGTAAATGCCAGCGAATCTAATGTAAATGTCAAAAAATCTAATGTGAATGTCAGATAATATAATGTGAATGTCAGAAAATCTAATGTGAATGTCCGAAAATCTAATGTGTAAATGTCAGAAAATCTAATGTGAATGTCAGAAAATCTAGTGTGAATGCCAGAAAATATAATGTGAATGTCAGAAAATCTAATGTGAATGTCAGAAAATCTAATGTGAATGTCAGAAAATATAATATGAATGTCAAAAAATCTAATGTAAAGTCAGAAAATCTAATGTGAATGTCAGAAAATCTAATGTGAATGTCAGCAAATCTAATGTGAATGTCAGAAAATCTAATGTAAAGTCAGCAAATCTAATATGAATGTCTGAAAATCTGATGTGAATATCAGAAAATCTAATGTAAATGCCAGCAAATATAATATGACAATCAGCACATATAATATCGATGTTTTCGAATGTGTTTCGAATGTCAGTTAATCTACTATGAACATCAGCATATATAATATGAATGTCAGCAAATTTAGTATGGATGTGTGAACATAAAATATGAATGTTATCAAATCTAATAAGGGTTTCAGCAAATCTAATATGGATATCCATAAATCTAATACAAATATCAGCAAGTCATATATATGGAAGTGATGTGGTTGGAAAAGCCATTACCCACGTATATATTATCTGGACATTCTTTTAAGTCAAGCTAGTTCAACACGTGGTTGTTGGGAACTTAACTTTATTAGCCAATTGAATATGACACGTAGCACTCAATACAGATTATAGATATAACCACTGGCCTGTGATTTTAAATTTTTAGCTTCGTCTATAGTGGTTGCTATTAGATATGAGCTGATTAGTTCTCACGTGTAATAAGTGAAGCAAGAATCAGTAAACTTATAAAGCCTCAAAATTATCCGTGTAAATTATATCATCCGTGTAAACTTGTGTCAATCTCTGTCAATTTAAATAAATTTTTGTCTACCTTAGCTTACTCAGTAGCTGGCAGGCCCGACAATGTAATCCCACAGGCAAAATTACCAAAGCACATTTATTAATTTCATTTCCTCAAGGACCACAAAGCGTAACAACCAACCTACAACTGACGCATAACTATCTAATCTAATAGCTACATTAAAATAATTTTCATCTCACCTCGACCAAGTATAGCCCATACAACATTGCCGGAGTGATGCAACCTCCAATTGCAGAATCCATCATCGAAATTGCAATCCACCACACTTCCATTTGGATCTTCTTCAAAAAATCTGTCGGTACCCAAGCTCGGAGTTGCGCGAGGGTTGTCTTCTTTCAACGCGCTTCCAAACGATAAATCCTGGATGCCACTTAATTCTCTTGCCGACCCATACATTTCACGTGATAAACTCGGGTATTTTCCATCTTCTTCTGTTCCAAATAAGTGGTTCCTCAGTGAATGATCTTGGTCTTCTTCATGCATATTTATTCTTAAGCTTTTTGCTGCGTCATCATTTGTACTGACATGGGGTACTTGAGCCACACACTGCGTGCGTACGGCGAGTCGGACATTCTTAACGATAATTCCTTCATTACTCTGAATGCGAGTGAACAATGTTTCTCCGCCATCATTTGAAGGCGAATGTTGACGAGAGTTCGAGTTCGGTGTCGAGTGCTCCCCAGTGAAATCACGGGCGCGGAAAATTATCTGTGCAGTTGCGGAATATCAGAATGAATTTAGTGCCTTGGATTATGGAAGTACGATATTATAAACGAATTATACGGAACTATGAGTCAAAGTTGCATTTAGTGAAGAAATGAAGCAACGTGCTGATGTACGGGTAAAATATTGCTCACTAATAACATAACATAACATAGTGATGTCTGCGCTAAAGAGTAGGCCTGATGTGGCCTGTCGCCGATTCTTGAACTTTTCGTAACTTGTTCACAGAAGATCTAAAATCGTGTTATTTGACCGGATCTTTGACTAATGATTTGATTTTGACTGATGATTTTGACTACCGTAATGATTTTGACTAATGAACCCATGAACATGGAGGGCGTGCTTACCGACATCTTGTCCTACTCTTCAGCTATAACAAGCTATAAAAAGCTGTAATAAGCTATTTTCAAGCTATAACAGGAATTTATTTGACCATAGTTAATTAAGTAGACATGTCCAATTCGACTCACCTGGGAATAATCGCTCACCAGCGACGAGGGTAAAGAAAGGAAAGCATTCAGAGGCTTAGGGGAAATGACTCTTCCGTGCGACCACAGCAGAAACTCTTCGCGGTTGACCACAGGCTCTGAATTTCTGTTGGCTTTAAGTCCATCGCTCAACGGCAGTTCATTTATGGCTTCCTCTTCAGAAAACAAAGAAAATGTACTCACACCTGGCGAGTTCTCATACATGTCCAATTTTGAAGTGAAGTCAAAAGGATATGCAGCTTTTGCTCGATTATTTCCTGGAGCATTTATTCCATTCGGGCTCCTTATCAAAACTTGCAGGTCTGCTGAAGGAGACAGGATCTCGTAGGTGAAAAACATGCACAATTCTTTGGCACTTAATGAGGAATTGAATGAATCAACATTCTGATTCAGGAAATGCGATTCGCGATCAGCAAATTCTGGAGTTTTGCTCCGTTCTTTCGTGGCATTAAATGATTTATGAGTTTCCATGTCCGATTTGAAAAGTGAATCCCAGGAATGAATTCCGAAAATTCTTGAAGTGTTCAACGGAGGAGAAATCAAATCAGAGTTTCGTTCAACTTGCGTATTCTTGCGCCGCGCTTGAGAGCCTTCGGTTAGGGGCGATGTGGCAATCATACCTGCGAACGCATATGTTAAATATTAAGTAATTATTACACGTTTACTTATTCATCTCGTCAACCTGGACACAGAATGACAACGTCAAAGCCCACCGTGGTGAAGGCCAACGGCGGCAACTCAGTTCGCAGTTGGACCACTTATGTAGGCAAGTTTTTTTCTTTATACGTTCTTGTAGTGGTGGTTTAGAACCGTTTGAGTTTTGTAGGTAGAAGTAGACTCCGTATTTTTGTGTTTTGAGTGAATACACATGTTTTTAGAAAAAGTATTTTCGCTCTGTTTGCAACGTTTTCTTAATTTTGCTATTATAGTTTATCACTAAAAATATCGTTTTTCTCCTTCAGTATTTGAGATTTTCGGAGGTCAGGCTAAGTAATTGAAGTGGCTAAGTTCTCCCACTACTCTACCAATGCCGACGGTTAGCAATGAAGTAAATTTGTCTTATTTCTTCAATATTGACCGTAGTAGTTGTATAATAGCGAATTTTTTGAAAAAGAGTGTACATAAATCACTTTAAAACATCATATGGCCCATGGATCAATTAACAATAACAAAGGCAACAATCTTCTTCATGTCGCTGTACTCATTAAAAGCTCTCAATTACAATAACTTTGCATCATAAGAATTAATGAATTTACGTTTACTTAATTAAAGAGTGTAACGTCTGAAGTTATAAACGCTTCATGAAATTTTCAATATTAATTTTCTGCAAAAACTCACCTTTTTCTGTCAAAAACCAGTTGAACTGATCAACTAATGTGTTAGTCCAACCACACATTGATTCTTGCTCGAATTTTCCATGATCTTCAAAATTTTCATCGATATTTTCCTCCCTTGCTTTGCTTTTGGTTCTCCCTTGAATTTTATCTCGACTACCAATGTTGCCTTGCGTGTCAGCCACATCCTCAACTTCTCGTCCATTTTCTAAGGTTTTTCTCAAATTTTGACTGCCTATTTCTGGTCCCATTTGTTGCCCAGTTGTGTGGGATGAACTTCCAGGGGTGATGGGGTGACTGGTTGCTGCGAAATCGCAGTTAAAGTCTTGGTGATGATCGAGGTCCTGACCACACGGTCCGTCTTTTATGTCCACTTGGTGAATTTGGACCAAATAAAGTGGACCGTAGCCCCTCTCGTACTGGATAAAGACCTGCATTTGCAGAATGAAGAAATGATTTCATACAGAAATAATTAATTCAAATCGCAGTCTTAAGGAAAACTTCTATTGAACTCCATTTTCAATAAATCATCGCTAAAAGAGGGAAATGACATTATAAAACAATATTAAAACAATTATACATATAAATATGTGAAATTTTAAGGGAATATTTCCATTTTAAGTTTAGTCCATTTCCGTAATTTAAAAAAAATGCTGTGGCTCTTTTAAAAATCTCTGTCATACAATGGAAGTATTTTTACTTTATACTAAATATATAACTTATTCTACTGAAGTGTTAACAAGTTACACTAATAAATTCCCTCATACTTCTGAAAGTATTACTTAGCTGCGCTGTAAATACGTTAATTCATATAGCATGTATGCGAAAATTCATTTCATGCATTACTGAGCATTCAACGTGATCGATCTGAGCATTCAATGTGAATTTCAGCAGCGGAAGAAACCCTGACCTCAAACGATCCCTCGGCGGTGAAATTGGCAACTCTTCTTATAGCACCAGCACCATGTGGGCCTTGCACCAATATCACGGTACTTCCACTCTCTTCCACTCCTTCAGAAAAGGTTTGGTAATGGCTTCTCTCCATGTACGCCCGGCGCCTAAACCGAGACATTCTTGAAACTTTCTTCTCCGTCAAGTGTCTTGGAGACCGAGCGTCGTACACGAATTTGGCTGAATCTATGGCGAACGGAGAGGTCCGATTCATGACCATATTCACGTTATTCGTGACCAAGTTTACTGGATCCGGAAGAAAATGATCAGCTTTGGAATTATGGTCAAAGACTCTCGAATCATAGTCGCCCTTTGCATCGTAAGAATCGTAAACGAGAATCTCTTCCTCTTTTCTTTCTACGTCGTCTTGGAACTCTTTTTCGTAGTAGCGGGTGGGGAAATTAACAGACCTAAAATGAGAATTGAGATCCCGCTTTGATCTACGATTTGTGGTGAAATGGGATTGAGAATTTTGATGGGATTTAGGTTTTTCTTGTTGCAAACTTTTAATGATAACAGAGAGCTGATATGCATCAGGACCGTCAAGCGTGAAGACCAAGGAGATGCACATGGCGTGATCTGCAACAAATGAATTTCATTTAAGAGAAAAAACTTCGATGGCAGAATTTTATAACTTACATTCTATTACAAATTTCTAGTTTTATTGAATTCTAATTAAGTATAATTAGATTAGATTATCAAATTTCTAATGAAATTGCTAGTTTTAATGAGTAGCATCTTGCTCTATAGTTGCACTAGCGAGGTGATATAGGAATAGCATCTTGCAAAAGTTAACCTATTTTTCGCGCATTTTCTCATTTGTGGAAAAAATGCACTATTGTGCTCGCCATGTCCGTCTGTCCGTCCTGTCCCGTCCGTGACCTCAAGTTTTCGTCGACGAGAAAATGCGCTCTCTGTCACTAACTGCAGTGAGTACTGAGTTATATTTTTTTGTTATCTACAGTAAATTGGCCTGCAATTTACGAGAAATCCCCCAACGAATGTTCGCAAGATTTATGGCCCATCAGCGTGACGGAAGTAAATATTATGGAGAAGTTTAACATATTTTCGGTTGGGGAAGTGAATATTATGGCGAATTTTGATGCATCTGCGGCGAATGAAGCCAATATCATAGTGAGTAAGGACACATCTACAGCGAAGCGAAGGTTTTTTTTGTGAAATAGTGATCGAGTTAAGACGCAACTAAAGCGATGCAAAAATTTTTTTGCGAATTCTCTGAAACTTACCAGTTTTTTGCGAGGATTCCGACACTGCAGGAAGCTGCCCCTGTGTTGGGGAAATGGGTGGGGAGCGCAGTTGGGCTCGGTAGCCTCTGGGGAGCATAGGACCCTTCTCATCCCCTTCAGTCATGATCATGTGTCCCCCAGCCGCTGGGTGTATTGAGGCAGAAACATTCATATATTTTACACCTCTTGACATTATTCGTTCTAAACGTTTCTCTTAAATACATCAATTCTAGTATTCTTTAACATACAGCAGTATTTAGGCAACATAAAAGCTTTGGCAGAAATATTCACGTATTTTAAGTGACATTATTCGTTTTAAATGTTTCTTTTAAATACATCAGTTCTAGTATTCTTCAACATACAGCAGTATTCAGACAACATAAAAGCTCTCTTATTTTATATTACAACTCATTGTTGTTGAATTTTATATACAAAAAATACATTTGTTATAGTAATTCGCCCGCTAGTAAAATTACTACTATAAAACAAGCCCGTTAGTAAAATTACTATTATAGTAAATTTGTTATAGTAATTTGTTATAGTAGTAATTTTGTTACAAATGTTACAAAATATAACTTCTATAGCTATTACAATACTTTTTCGTTAGTTAAATCAAAGCCGCATGTTATTGTGAACCATGTTTTTTATGTCTACATGACTTGTTTATTAGTTAGATCAAAGCCGCATGTTATTGTGAACCATGTTTTTTATGTCTACATGACTTGTTTATTAGTTAGATCAACGCCGTATGTTATTGTGAACCATGTTTTTTATGTCTACATGACTTGTTTATTAGTTAGATCAACGCCGTATGTTATTGTGAACCATGTTTCCTATGACCAACCATCAAACAGCCACGGAGTGTCTGGAGCAGCAGGAGTGTAGCCGCAGGGGGTCAGGGTGAAATTGCAGCTCCCTTCTCTAACTGCAACGAAAATGTAATGATACAAACTTCGATTATAATGGAACGAGGTCAAAAACGAATTTATTGATAATAAAGTTAACTGAAAATTTTGCTAACTTCCATATTAAGGAAATAAATTTCATTGCCGCCTAATACTATAATAAATTATTTCTTTAATTATAATAACTATTTCATATATAATTAATCATTTTGTTCGCAAAATGTACACTGAAATTCGGTATAGGTATTCAAAATAAATTGCAGATAATTAATGCCAAAATATAAACAATATTATTGATGAATTATTCTGCCAACAAATAACAGCAGAGTTAATCTGCCCAACAAATTTAAAGTGACCGCTAATCAGTTTTCAGCGTCAATTTTTCTGATTAAAAAGATTAAAAATTGTGAACTTTTTTTAATGATTAAATTGAATTAATTAAATTGCAAAAATTTCAAAATTTATCAAAATTAAATAAAAAATTACATTCAAATTTTTATTTCAAATTAAAACTATGGCTGAATGATTGAAAAATTCTCTCTTCGCAAATATAATCGAAATTAAATAAAAATATAAATTTAAAATTTTTATTTAATACACTTTTAAGTGTTGTTGAATGATTAACAAATTCTCTTTTCTCTCACAAACGACGTATTGGAGCTCAAAGCCACCCTCGTTGTCAGTCTCGTCAGACGAGAAGACGACTGACACTTCAGACGACGCCTGTAGCTCCAGCAGGCGACTGACAGGCCGCTGGTCAGCTGACAGTTGGTAGACAATTTCACCTGCTGACATTACCTGATAGAAAAATTAATACAAGAATATTGTGATGGTAATTAGAGTGAAACTTTTCAACCTTAGGTTTTAATCCAAACCTAGCCAAACCTAGACTATGGATTAAAGACCAAGCCAAACCTAGACTATGCGTGGTGTTGACAGAGGTGGTGCGGGGTGGACAGAAAAAGGAAAGGGGAAATGGAGAGAAAATTAGGAGATGAAAAAGGTGCATCTGGTAGGAGATGAAAAAGGTGCATCTGGTAGGAGATGAAAAAAAGCAAAAAAGTGGGAGATGAAAAAGGTTTGCTTAGGTTTGAGGAAGGGGGAGGGACCAGTCAGGGACATGGATGGTGTAAATGGGTGGGTGATGGAAGGGTGGTAGTTCTACATTTACATTATTTACAAGTTTTCGTGCCGTTAAAGGAAATATAGATGATGTGTACGCTCTATTTCCTCGCGTCTAGCTTTCATTTCCTTTTTGTGTGACATTATTATATTTTTTTACTTTTTTCCCAGAAGGTGTTATGATGACGATGAGAATGATAATGCTGGTGACAATGAAGCGGTCCCATATTTCCTAGTGGCACCGCCACCACCACGAGCGCAACGCGTTTTCGTATCCAGTTTACCGCCAGTTGCTCTTCTTTCGAATTGAAATAGATTTTTACGATGGCAAAATTTGACATTGAATGCGACGATAATTATTTCGATTGTCAACTTTTGGGGAGCTTGAAGATATAAGTGAAATATAGGAAATAATTCGTCTAAATCAGTTTTGCATCCTTGACGACTGACTGATTATTATATTGAGATCTTTTGGAGTCAGATCAAGCAGAAAAGTTCACCATGTTGCGAGCAACAGGATTGTGAACTGAGGTCGAGTAGATCCTGCAGAACAATTCAAAATTCAACACCTACAAGGACCCCTGCTTCCCACTCACATCGCCCAAACCAACACTACCTCGCCAGATTCTCAAAAAGGATAGAGCCTCCGACAACATAATACTAATTAATATTACAACCCGGACCAATCACCTCGACAGATCACATTCTAATCATCGGCACCATCTCCGCCAATCCAATACAGATCCCAATTCTAACACGTAAATCATTCTTCAGAGTTAACTAGACACAATACAAGGAGCTACTCTCGCACCTTCCAGTACCCTCCATGCCTGACCATAGTTAGAACTCGAGGTTAGAACTCAGTTAGAACTCGAGGAAATACACTGCTACCTCGGCAACTGGACGAAACTAATTTAAGACGCGACAGACAGAGCCATCCCCAGCATCACAAACCGCATCATCCCCGGTATGAAACCAACACACGAAACTCTTCTAATCCAGACACAGTACCAAGCTACTTTGTGGCACATATCAACTCATGGCCCTTCGATAGCTCTCACTGGCCAACTCAAAGCACTGCGTACACAACTACAAACCGCTTAACAACGCCTCCAAACAACAGCATGGCAGAAAATCATCACACCACTGGAGCTCCAGCTAGATCCTAGATGCTAGAATTGGGCCCAACACCACCACCCATCTCCCCATCTACAATTAGTCACAGATAAAATAACCATCGTCCCCCACACAGGGTCATCTTCAGCTTGGCACTCGTCCTGAACGTCTAGACTCTGTAGGCTGCGGTACATCAATAACAACAGTAACAACCACGTCAACAGCAAAACAACAACAGCAACATCAAGAGCAAAAATAACGGCAGCAACAACTTCAATAGTATAAGCAACATCAATAAAAACAGTAACAACCACGTCCGAACAACTACACGCATACTCAAACCAACTTCAAGAAGACACATGCTGCGCTCGACCAGCAGTTTTGATGGTCGAATCCGGGTGCGACAGTCCCGAAACGAGTACTGACTGACTTAACAGAACCGAGAGCGACGCACAATGTGACAAGAGCGCGCTTGACCAATTCTAGTTACCCATAAACACCCACTGTATCCTGAGCGTGTCGCCACTCATTATCACAATAGAAATCATTATCATCAACAAAGCAAGTGAAAACCAAAGAACCATAAGGTAATGACAAGAACACGATAGCAAAAATCACAACATAGTGCACACCTATTACTTCACTCTTTATCGTAATTCGACCTCGATTGCAGCAGCAGTAAATATGGAACCACAATCTAGTCCTCAATCCTTGGCACAACTAACCAAAGCCCTGACGGATTTCTATCCCCCCAAACCCCAACCAAACCCCTAAAACCGAAAATAAACCCAAATATACGCAATGCGCCTTTTCATCTCCAAGGATTTTTATAATGAAGATTTTTTATAAGCCGAGTAAAATCTCCAGCACACAGGGAGTAGGTAACGTATGATTATTTAGCAATATTACACAATAATCAGGAACAAATGTAGAATAAGTGGATGTAAATTGAGAATGCTGGATGCGCATCCACTTCTCAGTGAGAAGTGGATGCGATATTCTTTGTATGGAGATATAGATTGATTAGTTTATGATGACGAATATTAATTAATTTATTGATTCCCTAACTAGGTAACTTAGCACAAATAACTTCCATTTAAAATTTCCAGCCTCAATGCATTTGCTTCTCTTAGGCTTGCTTGCAAAAATGTATTATGACGGGATTTGCCAGTTGCTCGTCATTCTTAGTTCACATTCAATTTACATGCTACATTTTTGATCGAATCTTGCGACATGGACCATAAATCCGTTTTTAACCTCTGTGTTTATTGTTTAAAGACTAACATTGCGTAAAGCAGGAGAATTTTAGAAATTAAAGTTACAGATGGACTAAACGGAACTTAACTCGGTACAAAGCAATTTTGACTCCGTATCAAGTCACCGAAGCAAGTATCACACCGTATCAAGTCACCGGAGCAAGTATCACACCGTATCAAGTCACCGGAGCAAGTATCACACCGTATCAAGTCACTGGAGCAAGTATCACACCGTATCAAGTCATCGAAGCAAGTATCACACCGTATCAAGTCACCGAAGCAAGTATCACACCGTATCAAGTCACCGGAGCAAGTATCACACCGTATCAAGTCACCGGAGCAAGTATCACACCGTATCAAGTCACCGGAGCAAGTATCACACCGTATCAAGTCACCGGAGCAAGTATCACACCGTATCAAGTCACCGGAGCAAGTATCACACCGTATCAAGTCACCGGAGCAAGTATCACACCGTATCAAGTCACCGGAGCAAGTATCACACCGTATCAAGTCATCGAAGCAAGTATCACACCGTATCAAGTCACCGAAGCAAGTATCACACCGTATCAAGTCACCGGAGCAAGTATCACACCGTATCAAGTCACCGGACCTGAAGTACATCACCGTATTAAGTCACCGTACCTGCAGTACATCACCGTATCAAGTCACCGTACCTGCAGTACATCACCGTATCAAGTCACCGTACCTGCAGTACATCACCGTATCAAGTCACCGTACCTGCAGTACATCACCGTATCAAGTCACCGTACCTGTAGTACATCACCGCGGTCGAGGCTGTACTGACGTATGAGCAGGTGCACTGCATGCTGGTACGGCTGGTGCAGAGACCAGGTACAGTGTACCGACGCTCCATACGCCAGTGGCAGGTACGGAGACTGGATCACTCCATGCGGCGTACGGAGTTCGTGCGTGCAGTCTGGATTGGGGGGAAAAGGAATAAGACTGGATGTAGTTTGTCAAATGAATTGGGGGATGGAGGTTTATTTGTGAGAACGAAGATTTCCAGTGGAATGTACTAGACATTTTGAATCTTAGGAACAAATTGAGTTGAGTCTTTAGTCTCAGTTGTCTTTAGTCTCAGTTGAGTCTCTAGTCTCAGTTGTCTCAGGTCTCAGTTGAGTTTTTAGTCCCAGTTGAGTCTTTAGTCTCAGTTGAGTATTTAGTCTCAGTTGAGTCTTTAGTCTCAGTTGAGTCTTTAGTCTCAGTTGAGTCTTGTCAGTGTTGTGGGACGTTAGTTTGCTGTATTGCTAGCTTAGCGATGTCGACGTAAGTTTTATTGGTCTTGTCTTTGATTGTATCGGTCTGCATTTGTTATTTGTGTTGAATTTTCTGTTTGCCGTATGGACAGTTTGCTGAAGGTATATGGTGGTTGTGGTTGCAATTGAGACATTTTTGTATGTTTTTGTGCATTGGGTGTATGTTTGATTCTTGGCAGTGCATTCGGAGCATGATGGAGTAGTTGAGGTGCATTGGTGGGTTGATTGAACTTCAAATTTGTAACATTTATAACAGATGAAAAGGTGTGTGATGTTCTTGTTCACATTGTGATGGCATGATTTTGGTGTTGTACGTGTAGAATTCATCGGTTAGTATCCGTTGTGCTATCGTGGTGTCTGTGGTTATTATTTTGATGACGCGTGTATAGTGTTTTATTTTAAAGACGTCTTGAATGTGCAACCAGTTCTATAGAGTTGATATCTCGTGTTTTATTTCAGCTAGGCTGTGGCAACCTCTTTGTTCAGTTGTCTAACGAAGATTGTCCTTTATGCACGTAGATCGTGTGGTATGATTGGCGTCAGATTAATTTTGTTGAAGTGTTCGATCGATTTTTTTGAGGTCAGTTTATCAACTACTGATGCGTTGTCGGTCACTGCGTCAAAGCCTGAAGCGGTGTCGCGGTTAGTCGGATGAGTGGAGCGTCTAGGGATTTACATTTAGTTTGGAAAATTTTGGGTCGGTCGGCTGCAAGTCTCGGGTCGATTTTCTAAGTTAAATTCTGTAGGTCTGGGGTCTCGAGCGTTCATGAGGGTTTGATGGTTGATGTGATGACTTCGATGAAGACGAGAGGGCGTGAGGGGGGACGTGATGATAAGGATGAAAGTCGGAGTCGTGGTGGTTGGTTGAGGGACGTGGAGGCCTTAGCCTCCTGGGACAAGCCCGTCGGGTTCGTGGTGTGAGGGGAGGGGCATGGGGAGAGAGGAAAAGGAGGAAGCTAAAACACAGGTATATGATAGGATTGCAGTCGTATATGCAAAAGAAGGGAAGAGACAGAAGCAAAAAGTTCAGTCACTAGTTCCCATAGTGCTAGATGGCTAGATGACACTCACGGCTAGATGGCTGCAGGCAAATTCAAATACGATGGGTTGGAGGCTGCTTAATTTGTTCGAGGCTTAGAGAGAGCGCCAGAAATCAGAACCACACTAGTTCACACGGGGGGCCAAAATGCATTCAGAATTATAAGCTAGAAAACGGCGTAAAAATTGGTAAAAAGTGTATGGAGAATATGTAAATCATCCTAAATGGTCTTTTATTAAAGTGCGTCTGTATCGAGGAGAGGTGGTTGAGCGGTTAAGATCACCAATGAGGGTTTGGGTATCAGACCCGCAGCCAACTATGAAATCGGCGAAGTGGCCGGGCAGTGAAGCACAGCAATATTTCAGCAGCAAGTTGCGTGTTCGAGAGCTGAAGCATGCTATAAAAATTCTGTGTTGTTTAGGATCGACTACAAGTTTGTAAGAGTATTCTTGTGTGTGTCGTCCTCAGTGAGGGGCCATACTTTCAAAACTCGCAAGGTGAACGTAAGTACTTACGCTCTATTTTCTTGTCTATGATTGGTGGATATTGCTGGAAAGGCCGTCAATGATTGGCTGATGAACTTACTATCTCATAACTTTTTTTGAAGGTACTGTATATGATCAGGACCCCAATGAAACAGAGACGGTGAAGAAAAATTTCCTATTAGTGACGCGTGTGATTGTAGAGGCAAAAGCATGCTCAGAAAGATTTCTGGGTCATATTGTTCAAAAAATGACTCACTTTCCTATCCACAACACGAGCAAAAAGTGGACAGAGAGCCAAAACCCCCAATCTGTCGGGGCAAAGCTTGCCAGGATAACACCACACTACGGTAGAAAGTGCATCGCTATTTGGACAACGTCTAGCTAATTTTTCTGGATGAATACTGACCCTGGAGAAGCCACTGATACTGGAGCATGAAGCCTGTGTGCTGGCTGGAGTGAGAGGAAGCGAACTCCAACTCCACGTCGCCGGTCACTGAAATGAAACTTTGCGGTCCAGTCTCCAGTGCTCCACTGAGCTCGAACAGCGTGCTCCAGTCAGACTCCACAGCCTGTGCGTCATTTATACTTTTATTACAAAAGCTTTTCATGTCTCGCCCATCTCCATAGCCTGAATCATATAAATATATTCATATCAACAGGTTTTTCTGTTGTAAAATATAGAACTTAAAAATTATTTCAGTAACTTTGAAATGAGGTTCGTGCTCAAGTTGTATTTTTTATATGATTAAAAATTTGGCTCCTAGGATGACATGCAATAAAATATTTTCATTTTCGCCATATTTTCTTTTATAAATCATCATTATTCCAGTGGAATCTTATTTTCATGGATAGACTCACAAGAATCAAAGTGTCGTAAAGTGTCCCTGCTCACCTTGAAGACATCATTATCGTAAGTATTCAAGTATCGTAAAGTGTTTTCAAGTGTCGTAAAGTGTTTTCAAGTGTCGTAAAGTGTTTCTGCTCACCTTGAGGACATCAGCGTCGTAAGTATTCATGTGTCGTAAAGTATTTTCAAGTGTCGTAAAGTGTTTTCAAGTGTCTTAAAGTGTTTTCAAGTGTCGTAAAGTGTTTTCAAGTATCGTAAAGTGTTTTCAAGTGTCGTAAAGTGTTCCGTCTCACCTTGAGTACATCAGCATCGTAAGTTTTCAAGTGTCGTAACGTGTTTTCAAGTGTCGTAAAGTGTTCCGCTCACCTTGAGGACATCAGAGTCGTAAGTATCCAGCACAAAGACCGTAACGTTGATCACATATCCATGAGGAGCATATATCCTCCATCTGCAGTGGTCAGGTCCATAAGGAATATGTCCCTCTGTTCTCCATGTTCCATCCACCAGGTTGTAGCTTGGGTAACCAAGCAGTCCAGCTGGGTCAACCAGCTCCTGGATGGCTGGGTTGCAAGCTGGTTGTGGAGGTTAAAGTTCACATTAATAGAGAAAAATTTTAACTCGGTACTCACTGCAGTGAGTGACAGAGAGCGCATTTTCTCGTCGATAAAAACGTGAAGTCACGGACGGACGGTCAAAAGGACAGACGGACACACGGACATGGCGAGCACAATAGCGCCTTTTCCATAAATGAGAAAATGCGCTAAAATGATGCAAAATTAAGGCATTTGTGCCAAAATGGAATTCATATTAAACGCTAAAGAAAACAAAAGGATGACAAGTTTGGGAAAATATGAGGCACAGAAATAAGTCAGTCATAACACAATCGCTGGACTAAACAAGGAATCTGTGAGTAAATTTTTGGTAAGCTTTGCAAGTGTTAGAATGAGATCTTCATAAACCGACGTTCACATAATGGCCACACGCAAGCCAAATGTCTTCGGTCAAGAATAGAATAGAGCAGATGTGTCGGCACTGAAGAAATAGGCCCATGGCCTGTTGCCGATTCTTGAACTTTTCGTGACTTGATTCACAAGGGATCCGGCCTTTGGAACCCGATCTTTCCATAGCTGACGATTGATTGAGATAGCTGCTGGACTTATTGCCTGCTCCGTAATTTGCTAGGCATTTTAAGACTGAACATATGCTCCTGCATAGCTTCGTCTAGTCTGTTTTTGAAGATGTTCATACTCGGAGCGTCAACGATGCTATCAGGTAGGCTGTTCCACATGTCGGTGACTCGAAGCGAGAAGAAATGTTGTCGCATGGATGTGTTCCAACGCTGTTTTTTTAGTTTATAGCCGTGGCCCCTGGTGTTGGTTCTTGTTTCAAATTCTAGTAATCCTTCTGGGACCTTGTATAAGTCATGAGTATACTTGTATACTTCAATGAGGTCCCCACGCAGACGTCGATAACTGAGGCTTGGAAGCTTCATAATCTTTAATCTTTCCTCATAGGACTTGCCTTTCAAGCCCGGAACTATTCTTGTTGCGCGTCTTATGTCTTATATAGTTCACGTGTATGGCTAGCGTATCTCTTACGCAAGTCCTGCTCTGTGCGCCCGAACCATCCTCACCTCCGAAACCAGAAGTTTCATAAGGCACGTCACGCGTGCGTCTTGTTAGTCCAATTAAAGGGACATAAGTGTGGTCTATTCTCTCACAGCAGTCTTGTGAGGAGGCTTCTTAGGGCCTCTTGTGAGGAGGCCTCGTGGGGCCTGTCGTAATGAGTAATGAGGCCTCGTTGGCCGTCTTGTAAGGAGGCCCCAGAATTGCACCTCAATTGCCACAGAGAAGAGCATTAGGATGCAGCTTGAGCCTCCGCCAGACAAGCGCTAAGATTGCGCAGCTTAATTCGTGCGGCGGTGGCCATTGAGGTGTCAGAGGGACGACAAATGAGCCGCGGCTTAAGATTTACTGAATTACTCACTGGCTCTGGACTTACTGGCTCGAGAGACTCCATGCATGCACTGAACCAAGGACCGTCAGATTTACTGATTTACTCACTGGCTCTGGACTTACTAGCTCGAGAGACTCCATGTACTGAACCAGGGACCGTCAGACTTACTGATTTACTCACTGGCTCTGGACTTACTGGCTCAAGAGACTCCAAATACTGAACCAGGGACTGTCAGACTTGCTGATTTACTGAGTGCAGGGAGCGATTGGTCTTAAAATTGTACGGCTGGTAGCGTGCAGTGGGCAGCGACGAGCACGCATTTATTTTTGCAAGCTGTGGTCTGCGATTACCTTTCCATTGGGTTTACGTTTTGCAATAAATGTTGGCGTCAAATTTAGTAGGGTCGTTCTTTCTGACGATATATGCTGTGGTGACGTAATATTTTCTCCAATATATAATTATTTCATCAGAAGTTTTGCCATATTTCGTACTGTTAATGCCCCGTACCTCTGTTGACGTAAGTGACGTTGATAAGGAAGCCTGCCCCTCCCCTGGACCCATCCTCCACCCCTCGCGAGGTGAACCCCAGCATGAGGGGATGCGCCGACTGGATGAGGGGCCACGGGAACCCCTCGCTGCCCCCGTGCTGGATCAGGCGCTGGGCCCCCGACTGGTCGAAGCGTGTCACCTGGCGAGGGGGGAGGGAAAGGGGTGTAATTAGGATGGTGAATTAAGGGGGAAATGGTGAGGGAAATAAGGGGGAAATGAGGAGTTATAGAGATAAGGGGGAGATGATGAATTGTAGATAAGGGGGAAATGGGGAATTGTAGATAAGGGGGAAATGGGGAATTGTAGATAAGGGAGAGATGGCGAATTTTAGATAAGGAGGAGATGTGTGTTATAGATAAGGGGGAAATGGAGAATTGTACATAAGGGGGAGATGGTAAATTGTAGATAAGGGGCAAATGGTGAATTATAGATAAGGGGGAGATGGTAAATTGTAGATAAGGGGGAGATGGTGAATTATAGATAAGGGGGAAATGGTGAATTATAGATAAGGGCAAATGGTGAATTAGAAATGAGGGAAAATGATGGTGAGTTAGAGATAATGGGAAATGTTGAATTATAGATAAGGGGCAAATGGTGGATTAGAAATGAGGAGGAAATGGTGAGTTAGAGATAAGGGGAAAATAATGGATAAGAGAAAATGTGGTAATTATAAAGAAAAGTTAGGTTTAAAAGGGAAAGATTTCAATGAAAGATGGGTTTCGAAAGGAAAATATTAAAATAATTTGGAAGGAGAAACAAAGTTGAATTCAAATTAGGTAAAATATGGAATACAGAGGTAGAATAGAGAGAAAAGTTCATGTGATTCAAATTTGAAGATAACAGTTAGTTAATTGATACGCAGTAGATTGTGAATAATACATTTGAGGGAGAGGAGGGATATTAAAAATGAGAGATGGCAAGAGGCGCATTAAAATATTCTAGCGATTGACAAGGTAATAATGGTAGGTATACAAGGAGGGTGAGTGGACGATGGGAAAATTGAAATAGAAATGGATTTTTAAAATAGCAAGAGAAGAAGTTGACGGGTAAAATTAGGACAATACGAGGATGAAGTTATTAGATGAATGGAAGTTGATTAATTCGAATCTCTATAAAATGGGTGGTTGTAGTGTTCAAATAATGGACAATTTGTCAACCTCCACTTGTGAAAACGGAGGTCAAAACTTGATATAAGGCAGAAAGGCAAGATGAAGTGTTATAAATGAGAACTACCGTAGAGTTAAGAGAGATGGTATAATGTGGTATACCTTACGTACCACATTCTACTAACAGTCATCTCGTGGTGCCTTCAAGTACCACGTTCTAATTAGAGGTCTTAAGTGGTATTATCAAGCACCTAATTTAGCTTACAGTCACAATGTGGTACCATCAAATACTATATCCCACTTAGAGTATTTGTTGTGCCCCAATTAGCACATTGCACTCACAGTCAGCTGGTCCATGGGGTCGGTGCTGAAGGCCACGACGTGCAGCTGTACTATGTACCTCGGCTGTACCACGACGTACCAGGTACAGTTCATCTGGGGCTGGTAAGATGCCAGTTCCATCCAGTAGCCTCGGGGAACTGCAGCGGAAAAGAAGAATACGAGCCTCAAAACTTTCTCCGAGTACATGTAGCAGTCTAATTACATGTAGCTTCCCAAGTACACGTTGCGGGCTAAGTACCTACATGTAGCTTAACAAGTACATGTAGCGGTCTAATTATCTGGGCAGGGTGGCCCAGGTGTTAAAGTTCAGAGTACCAAGATTGGCGCAGAGAGGCGCGGGTTCGATCCCAGCTCTGTGCGCCAGTTTCTGGTCATAATCGGCAAGGAGGCCGGGCGGTTGAGCACAGCAAAATTGTAGCAGTGAGTTACGAGTTCGAGACCGCAACATGCTGTGAATGTTCTGCGATGTTAAGAATCGGCGACAGGCCTATGGCCTACTAAACGCTGAAACCGCTATTATTTATTTTATTATATATTATAATTACATGTAGCTTCCCAAGTACACGTTGCGGTCTAAGTACACGTTGCGGTCTAAATATATGAAGCTTCCAAGTACACGTAACGGAAGAAATACGAGTAGCTGCTAAAGTACACGGAGCTGCTTTTCTTATTCAGTGTGAGAAGATAATTAAAATCCGTCACAGTGTCTCCATCAGGATGGCGCACTATTGTAGACTTAACATCATCAAAAACAAAGCTAAGCTTAAAATGGCAGTATTTATCTATTTTATTTGATAATTTAAATAATTTATGCTGAATTTTTAATAATTAATTTAAATGGCCCTCAAAAACAGCTTCGTGCGAGCCTCATACTCTAAGGATTCGTGAGCTATTTTGATCGCACCCACTAGGCATCTGACGTTTGACGTTGAAATAACGTTTATTAAACGATGTTTCAACGAAATAAACTCGTGAGCAACATTGTTTCTAGTTCATTTGCCGGGAAAGAAAGTAGTTTGAGGAGTGGAAATCAACTTTGTACTAAATTTCATTAATGATAGGATGATATGGGTGATTGTCTCAAATAGCAATTTTAAATTGATTTAACGCATTGTGACATATGCCATTTCTAGTCATATACAAAATTTTCAAAATAAAATTTAATAGTTAATTTCCTAGCAAAAAAAAAACAGTTCTAGCCAAATGCAAACTTTTAAAAATAAAAATTTAATAGTTGATTTCATGAAAAAAGTTTTTATTTTTCTTAAAGAATGAAATCGAAATCTCACCTCCTCCGGACATCAGGGGTAGCGCCCCCATGGAGGTGACCGCCATGTTTGGGAGAGGGGGAGGGGGTTCTTCAGGGGTTAGGGGGCCAGGCAGGATCTGGGATGGAAATAAGGCAGACTATAAAATATTTTTATAGATATTGTGAGTAGAACAATTGTGAGTAGAACTACTGTCAGTAGAACTATTGTGAGTAGAACTATTGTGAGTAGAACTATTGTGAGTAGAACTATTGTGAGTAAAACTATTGTGAGTAGAACTATCGTGAGTAGAACTGTTGTGATGGATGTGAGTAGAACTATATAACCTATTGTGAGTAGAACTGTTGTGAGTAAAACTATTGTGATGGATGTGAGTAGAACTATATAACCTATTGTGAGTAGAACTATGGTATCATAAAAACCTAGTCCCGCAAACCGTGTAACATGGTTGCGAAAAATATGAGAATTTAAGAGTTCTCGCTAAAAATGCAGAAATTCAGAGCGCCATGAAGTGCATAGTTCCGTCGATACAATAAACTAATGCAAATCTTGGTTGCGTTCAAAAGTTTGTCGCGGTTGCTTAGAACTTGAAGACGGCAAAGTTTGATGTTTATGTATTTATGATTCCATGAAGCCAAAAACTCGCACATAATTATTTTACAAATTAATGTACAACCTCAAAAAATGACTTTATTGTTAGATAAATTACACTTAATACATTATTAATAAGGTATAAATTATTGAGGAAGGCTTATTATTATTATTATTAGGTAGCGCAGCAATCCTATTACAATTTTTATTGTTTATTATTATTATTATTATTATTGGTTAGCGCAGCAGCCCTATTACTATTTTTACGGCTTATTAATATTATTAGATGGCGCATCAGTCCTATTATTATTATAAGACTTATTGTCGTTATTAGTTAGCACACTATTCCTATTATTATTATAAGGCTTATTATTAGTGCGAGATAAAATATGAGAATAGCATGGACGGACCCCCTGCAAGTTAATATAATAATAATAATAGTAAGTAATAATAATAGAATGATAATGGTAAGTTGACCTTACTATTATCACTTATTACTATTATTACTATTATTATTACTTAATAGTAAGTAATAATAATAGTAATGGACCCCCATGGACGGACCCCCTGCAAGTTCCAGGGCGGCAGCGCGATGAGCTGTTCCTCCACCACGTGCGCCCCTGGCGGCACACACGCTGCCCGGACACATGATAGGGGTTAGCGTGAGTGTTGTAGCACCACTACTACCATCACCATCACCACTCTTGAACATCACCACCATCATCACCACTCTTAAACATCACCACCACCATCACCACTCTTAAACATCACCACCACCACTCTTAAACATCACCACCATCATCACCACTCTTGAACATCACCACCATCATCACCACTCTTGAACATCACCACCATCATCACCACTCTTGAACATCACCACCACCATCACCCTGTCTCTTATACACATCTAGATGTGTATAAGAGAACATCACCACCATCATCACCACTCTTGAACATCACCACTCTTAAACACCACCACCACCATCACCACTCTTGAACATCACCACCATCATCACAACTCTTAAACATCACCACCATCATCACCACCCTTGAACATCACCACCACCATCACCACTCTTAAACATCACCACTTCTAACCACTAGCACTGCTACCCCTCACCACCACTGCTACGCTCAACACCACCACCACCCTTCACCACCACCACCACCCTTCAACACCTCTGCTGCCCTCACCACCACTGCTACCCCTCACCACCACCCCTCACCACCACCCTCACCACCCACCAGCAGGCACGTAGTGGTGAGCCAGCAGGAAGCCATGGTAGGCTGTGTGTTCATCACTCGTGAACACCACCCCTCACCACCACCACCCCTCACCACCCACCACCACCACCCTCACCACCCACCAGCAGGCACGTAGTGGTGAGCCAGCAGGAAGCCATGGTATGCTGTGTGTTCATCACTCGTGAACACCACCGTCATCACCCGCCCCGGCGTCACCACCTGCCAGGGGGTGCGGGGGAGGTCCCCTGACACCCCCAGCAGCTCCTGAGACCTCCCGTCTTCTGACCCGTAGATCTGCCAATATTTAGCATTAATTAAGGAAATTAATTAATAAGGAAATTGATTTAGGTATCTGGCCATATTTATCATTACGTGAATAATTGGGAAAGAATTTTGAATTCAAAAATATCACATCAATGTAGCACTCATTCTGATAGAGATTGATTTAAATTGAACTTTCTCAATTATGGCCAGGTACTTTGATAATTTCGTTTAATTGTCATTGATAAATTCTGTAGAATTATGTAAAATTCTGTAATATTCTGTACTATTCTGTACTATTCTATACCATTCTGTACTACTCTATACTATTCTGTACTATTCTATACTATTCAATATTATTCTGTACTATTCTATACTATTCTATATTATTCTGTACTATTCTATATTATTCTATACCATTCTGTACTACTCTGTACTATTCTGTACTATTCTATACTATTCTATATTATTCTATACCATTCTGTACTACTCTGTACTATTCTATACTATTCTATACTATTCTATACCATTCTGTACTACTCTGTACTAGTCTGCAATATTCAGTAATATTCAGGACAAATCCAAGAATATTCGAACGCAACTATAATGCTGAAATATTGACGGAAGTTCCGTTTCAGCAAACAACAAACCCTCTAACACGACGGTACACTCCGGATAGGATTTGAACCACGACTAAAAATGTATTAAATTCACAGAAATGTACAGTTATAATGGTCAAGATTAGTATTAATGAACATCGACAATAATATTTCCAAATGAACATCGATACAATTTGTTACCCACGTGGACGAAGTCGTAGTTGCGCTCCGTGTCGAACTTGAGGAACTTAGCGTGAATGACATGCTGATGGGGCGCTCTGATGACCCATTGACACGTCACGCTGCACACACGAGAATTAGGGTTAATATGTGATGTAGCGTGACATGCTACGTGCATATTAATGTGTGACATGCTAGGGGCTGTAAAAGCGGGGTGACATGCTACGAGCTGTTGTGTTGTAGCGTGACATGCTACGAGCTGTTGTGTTGTAGCGTGACATGCTAGGAGCTGTTGTGTTGTAGCGTGACTTGCTACGAGCTGTTGTGTTGTAGCGTGACATGCTACAAGCTGTTGTGTTGTAGCGTGACTTGCTACGAGCTGTTGTGTTGTGGCGTGACATGCTACAAGCTGTTGTGTTGTAGCGTGACTTGCTACGAGCTGTTGTGTTGTAGCGTGACTTGCTACGAGCTGTTGTGTTGTAGCGTGACATGCTATAGCTATTTCAATCGAAGTTGATAACAGGAAACGGTCTGACCTTCCGTTAAAATGTCGTTAATTTTTTTCAATATCAAAAGGAAAAAGGAACGGTCTGACCTGCAATTAAAACATTAAATATTTTCAATATCAACAGGAAATCATCGAAGAAGCGCTAAAATCGTTTGTCATGACGCTGGTGCCTTGCTCACGGTCAGAGATTTGCTTTCCACGGCCGTTCCTACCCCTCTACCGCCTGACATGAGTAACCGGAGCAATATTGTCACAAGTTTGGTAGTATATTATTATTACTAATATAATATAATATTAGTAATATTATTAATATTAGTGACCGGAGCAATATTGTCACGCGCCTACTTCCCAAAAAGGATACGTTCTAGTGAGCGCAAAATGACTTGCACTGATGGTTGCCGCCACGTACGACAACTTTAAAATGTTCTCTGTTGCGTACAAACGTCACCAGGTTGCTACACTCAATAGTTTACGTGTAATTTAAGTTGAAAGTTATGCTCCCGGAGAGTGACATACGTCGGTAGAGGGTTAATACCGATATAACGGTCAGCATTTCTTGTATGCTGCCACAGTATTATAATAAATTTAATTGTGTCTATCTATTGTGGGGGTGCAGTAGTAAGTATTGTGTTGTGCACCCCTGGTGGGGTGCAGTAACAGGTCACCTGGTGGGGTACAGTAACAGGTCACCTGGTGGGGTGCAGTAACAGGTCACCTGGTGGGTGCAGTAACAGACAGTAACAGGTCACCTGGTGGGGTACAGTAACAGGTCACCTGGTGGGGTGCAGTAACAGGTCACCTGGTGGGGTACAGCAGCAGGTTCGTCCAGCGGGCCAGCGCAGAGTCCCAGTTCGCAGGAGGGAAGGCGAGGTGGCTCGTGAAGTTCGAAGGTCCAATCACCAGAGCGCGTCCGTTGCACTCTGCAAATGCGGTCATTGATAATTATAAATTTTAATTTAATTAAAAAATTAATTTTCGATGTAAGTGTCTATCAAAATAAATAATCAGACATATTCTGACGTTAATATGCACTTACTTATAATCAGACGTTTTAGAAACAGGCGTTTAGTACCAGGATGAATATAAATTAGCCGTTTTTATATAGCCCGTAATAATCCTTTGAACCTTTTAAAATAAAACAAAAAGTTCTATGCCTGCTTTCACAAGTGATCCGGCCTTTGGAACTCGATCTTTCCATAGCTGGCGATTGATTGAGATAGCTGCTGGACTTATTGCCTGGTCCGTAAGTAGCTGGGCATTTTAAGACTGAACATATGCTCCTGCATAGCTTCGTCTAGTCTTATTGCCTGGTCCGTAATTTGCTAGGCATTTTAAGACTGAACATATGCTCCTGCATAGCTTCGTCTAGTCTGTTCTTGAAGGCATATTTCTTTCGATAGGTAAGAACGCTAGACGCTATAACAGCCTATGAAGTCAAGTGCTCAAAGTCATAACGCCGGATGACCACAGCCATAAAATAAGCTTGCTGAAGGTAAGCACGGCCATACTGCATCTGGCCAAACCTCTTCCGGCCTAACCTACGCAAGTTGCAACATTTCTCCACCCAAATTGAGTGGACCTAACCTAACCTCATTGGTTGCAGAAAGTTAGAAAGGCGGTCCAAGTGTGGTGGTAGAGCCACTCAATTGTGGCTGAAAGAAGGTTGAGAGCCGGGACAGCGTGAATACCGAATAATAAGAGGAACAGAGTTGCTTAAAGGTGAACTTTCATAAGTAAAAATTTGTGGTGACATTCTTTCTAAACGCAAGAAATTTAAAGAGCACAAGGCATGAATTTGTGGGTTGGACCGTCGAATGTGATGCTGTTCTGACCTGCAGGCGAGCTGCAACAGACAAATGTGACGCTGTTCTGACCTACAGGCGAGCTGCAACAGACAAATGTATTCTGACCTGCAGGCGAGCTGCAACAGACAAATGTGACGCTGTTCTGACCTGCAGGCGAGCTTCAAAATGAATGCTGGAGCTCTATATTTTTGTGTAACCCCTCAGTTTTGTAAGACGAACGCTTGATCTCTGTGCTCTGATATAAGCACTTGGTTTCGAATGACGTGATTCGTAAATGATCCATCGAATGACCGTAAATTATTTTTAAGTCATTGCTTGTACATTTTTACATAGAACTCGGCATATTTTTTTACCATTTTCATTTTAAATGGTCTCTCTAAGCTGTTCTTTTTATTTAAATTCTATTTTTTCGTGGAATTCATTTTTTAGAACATCCATACGCATTCTTAAATTCGAGGTGGCTTTTATGGGGCATTCTCGTATTTATGACCCTCTTTGAAACTTGGACTATTTGCGGAGAAAAGGTTGTATTTTTTTGGCTATACAAGCACTTTTGATGTATTTTTCAACCATAGCTATGAGACAATCATGTTTATCTATGACCGGATTTCGTTGCGTATTTTCATCCATAAAATGCAGGTATGAATTTCAATGCATAAATAAAATAAAGTCAATAATAATACACAATACACTATACACTAAAGTCACTAATACTGTCAATACAACACCAATTTAATATAGGATTGAAGAGGGGAAACTCTAGCCCTGCACCAGGGGTCACTTAGCAGCTGAGATATGGCCTAAGTTTTGGCTCTAACCATCGGGTAATTGGCGCCCAAACTGCTGTCGCGACAGCGGGTGTCGTGGCTGAAGAATTATGGCCGCTACTTACCTAATAAATATGATCGGCAAATAAGGGCGGGTCATTTATAGGTTAACCTGAAATTAGGTACATTTATTGTAGGGTAATTACACGTCGATTGAATTTACGCTTCTTGGTCGGGGGTTCGATAAATGTGTAAGATACTGAACCTGTACTTTTGTTTTTTAATAGCAAAGAGAAAATTCTGGAAAATTTTTAAATGAATAAATTGAGGTCTAGCAATTTATAAATATAATGCAATTAAGAAGTAAACTGAAACACATGTATTAGTTCAAGTGAATTTAGTTTACATGGCTGGTGACCGTGAGACGAGTGCGGGATGCGCGTATTTGACACCTAACAGCTTCGGGACGGGCAACGGCCGAATCTGAGAAGAGGCATCTGATGGGTGGGGGCATGCAAATCTATGTACATAATATACCCCCAGTCTAGACGAAAAACATAAAAACTAATTTATCACCGCCGCACCATGATACAAATGGCAAAGAAACCCGACGTTGAGCTGGAAATAATAGCACTTATTAACTTATTACAATTATCAACCCCAACTTCCCACATAACCCACAAGTCACAACCAAACATTCTCTAACACTAATCTTAATGTACTTGACATTTTCACGCAATAATCAGTCCTCAAAGTTCTTCCACAACATTAACAAACAACAGTCTAGTGTCTCTACAAGGCTCAATTTTAATGCATGGACTTTGAGAACAGAATCCATTTCACATGGCGTAATTTAAATGTGGTAGCTAATTCCTCTATTTCTAAGGATGGAATAGTAGGGATGAAATAGTAATATTCTTTACTAAAACATGATTAACTAATCGCGGTAATTCAATCAAAGGCGAAACCTTCATGCATTCTTATTTCCCATTGCATGCAAATTATCCAGAATGATTTTTTGCTATTAACTGCCATTTCACGATACGTCACCGGAAAGTTCCGATTCAGTACACGTTTTACAAGGGTCAATAAAATTCTATCAATACAGTGGCTGTGAACATTTCTACGGCCGAATTGAATATAAACATTCCTACCGCCGAAATTACGTTTGGAATTTGTGACCATTCGAACATTACTATGCTCCATTACAACTTTAGAAATCTCTCCTCTTATAAGTTGTTGTTCAACTAAAATAACCCAATACTTCGATTTTCCTCCGGTAATAAACCTGATGATACAATGGAATAAAGCACATAAAAACGGATAACGACCAACGCAATTACTTACGATTAGGCTAGGCATCTACAATGTACGTTCAATCCTGTATTGCTTGCAAGCGGCCCGGCGCCGGGGTATGAAGACTACCTCGTATCGATTCAAAACGTAATCATGCACGCAATTGACTGTGGACAATAATTATTCTAGACTTACGGTTTCACAAATCGATCCAACTATCTTGTCTAATTAGAAATAAAACCTATAGTATATGAACACGAGCGAGCTGAAATAAGATGCTTGTGCCAACATATACCCCGAGTTAAAAATTTATTTTACAGCGAAAATTTCGAAGCTCAACTGTGTGTTTTTGCATGTCGCCATGCCGTGTATTCCAACCGTCAAAGAATTTCACTTTAGGAGACACTGGACATTAAAAACTTGGGAAGTTGCGTTTCGACAATTTACGAAATTAACATGTTCATCCTTTAAAACAGAATTATTTCCAATTCACCGCTCCACTAGTCATACTAAGATTGAACGATTGTAATGAGAAAAATATCTCAACCGTAAGTCGAACGCGTCGAAATGCACCAAACTACTGACGCCACATCGTCTACGTCTCCACTCTCCGGCTCTCCGCTGTTGCATTGCCATTGTTTTGAGGTAGTGGGGTATCATGGTTGAACTATATAAGGTTGACCCACCATTATTTCCGTATTTCGGTTCAGCTATCTTGTTAATTAAGTCACTGAGACTGAGAAACGGAAACTATCACGCCATTCCCATGACGGATGGGTTGACTGGTTTGATCGCATTTTGGTGGATAGTTAACGCCCGTGACGTCACTGAAATCAGTGACGTCGCAGGCGAACAACAAACTACATCTGCAAAAATGAGCTTCTCAAGGGTCAACCTTATACTAGTTCAACCATGGTGGGGTAATCTCACCTGTGGACAGGGAGTAGCACTATGGGGTTATTTTAGCGGCCTTGCCTCCGATGCGTGGATGTTGAAGCTATTAGTATGCATATAATTTGCTCATGTTGCCCAAAAAAGCAATTCACACGTGTTATCAGAACGCGTCGCACACGTGAAAACAAAAAAGCAACGCAAGCGTGTTTACAGAAAATTTATGTTCGTGTTAAATTACGTATTGACGATAACGCAGTTCACGCATGCATGCTCTGTTGAAGACGCATGTGTTGGTGGACACTAATCGCAAACCTGTTGACATAAAAGTAACGCAAGCGTGTTGAGAAAACGCAATGCCTGCGTGTTTTGCTATGCTCACACAAAGCACGCGCGATAGAAGACACGCACTGCACGCATGTTGAATCTCGCTCAACTCTCGCGTAAGCAACACGCCCTCAATACAAACGTATTGCAAATAACGCAACGCATGCATGTTGACGCATACGCAATGCAGAAGTGTTGCTACATTGAAACGCTCGCGTGTTGGGTTTGAAACGCTTACGCGTTGAAACTTGAAACGCTCGCGTGTTGATAAGTTGGAATCCATGCATAATGCACATGCAATGTCAAAACTAAAGGCAGGGGATTGTCACGCTCGCGCTAAGAACTCTTGCCTGCTACAGAGCAGGGTAAACAAATGTCGGCTCACCAGTCGCTGATTTCTTGTGTCATTTGATTTATTTTTTACCATGGAACAATCAAAAGCAGCTCATATATAGCAGCTGAATACAAGAAACGGCCGTTTCACTTGCGATTCACTTCTAATGCGAGCCAAAAGTAGCTCATATATAGCAGCTAATTCAAGAATTCAAGGAACGGCCGCTAGAAATTCACCTCTAAGGAGAGATTGGCGACGGAAAGGCGCCAGACAGCCGACTCTAAATTATGATTGGGTTGTAATACCCTGACATGGAGGAAATAATCAATTGAACGCAACACGTAAAAAAATATAACTCGGTACTCACTGCAGTGAGTGACAAAGAGCGCATTTTCTCGTCGACTAAAACGTGAAGTCACGGACGGACAGACACAGACAGACGGACATGGCGATCACAATAGTGCATTTTTTCCATAAATGAGAAAATGCGCCAAAAATGGTCTGCAACACGCATTGTACTTAATGATTTCGGATTGCATTTTATTCAAATCTCTAAGCCACCATTTGTGAATTAATCAAACTATATATTTCTTTTGGTTTCGATAAGAGCTACCACTTCCTCAAAATTAATTCCAACTTATGTTTAGAATTGAAGACCCAAATGAAAATAACTTCACTTTATGAGAACGAATCCTACGGAACTAATTGGAACGACTCGTTATTGCTAGAAAAAGAAACGTAATAAACGCTAAAATTTCACAGACCTCTTTATAAAAATTGAGGGTTAATATAAAAAATTCAGAATTTAAAAATTTGCGGTAGGATATTCATAAATTCCCAAGAACGAGATTAATTATTTCCATGGCATTTGATCATGAGCTGACGAGACTGCGGCGAGCGTTTCAGACTCTCAGGCTTTGTTTACAAACACACTCTCAAATTGCGCCTCATTTAGCGACGGACGTCTAATTTTACCCTGAAGAATTCAGGGTATAAGCGTCTTCGGAATGATTGTTATATCTTGTGAATGCTTTTGTTAGTCTCAGGAATGCTTGCGTTCCCAATGCGGTTGGAAATTTATGAGCTACTCGACATACCTAGTAGGTAAACTAGTGAAGAAATGTTCATTGCTTACAATCATGTCTGCCTGATTGTAGTCAGAGGCAAGTCGTGCTTTATGAAGCCTTTTTTCCAGAAATTTTTATGGTGTTCGTCAGATTTGCAGCAATCCAGTATTTGGTTATGTGTCAGAAGATAGAGAGCGTTTAATAGGGGATTGACTACAGGATTGATGACGTTGTATGTAGGACTGTACGATCATGTTGGAACTGATGAGCATGGGGGAACTGCTGATGTTGGTAGAACTGATGATCTTGGAGGAACTGATGATCTTGGTGGAACTGATGATCTTGGTGGAACTGATGAACTTGATGGAACTTATAATCATGGTGGAACTTATCATCTTAGTGGAACTTATAATCCTACTGGAACCGATGATCATTGTAGAACTGATTTTCTTGGTGTAACTTATAATCATGGTGGAACTGATTATTTTGTTTTAACTTATGAGCGTGTGGGTACTCACGATCGTAGCAAAATGTGTAGCTATATGAACTTGCGACGATATTAAACCAACGATAGTCGTGAAATTTGTTATCAGAGTGATAATTCGTTCTTTCTAGCAGATATGATAAACGGATAAATACCTTCCTGCTGTTTTCAAAAGAATATTCTTGCGAAAAAAACAATCAGTTTCTGCTTTAGTTCTCGACGCGTGCCATGGACTGCATTACGTGCAGTTAGCCCTTGACGTATTTACGCACCACAATAATAAAATGTATAAAAAAAATTTTCAAAGACCACGTTTTTCATGTGGACTCAAAAGTAGAAAATAATTTTTCGGCAGCTACTGATCTCTGTTTGCTTTCATTCTCTTGGTCTTATTAATATTTTTAATATTTTACAACATCTAAAACGAAAAACGTGGGGCGCATATGTATTTAATTGTTTGGTGATTACTTGATATGATGAATATGATGGTTCATTGAACATTTGATAAGTGTATTGCTGATATAATTAGAAATAGTGGTTGAATTCAAACTTGAAATTAAGGCATGCCTAAATGAAGATGCGCCCCACGTTTTTCGTTTTAGATGTAAAATATTTTAACTGAAATACAAAAGACCAAGAAAATGAAAGCAAACATATAGATCAGTAGCTGCCGAAAAATTATTTTCTACTTTTGAGTCCACATGAAAAACGTGGTCTTTAAAAATTTTTTTTATACATTTTATTTTCTACTTTTTAGTTTTTTAAGTATAATGGGAAAGTTGGTGAAATATCGATTGCAAGATTTGATCATCACAGAAACGAAAGCGAGCTAAGAAAAACGTGGTAATAAAATACTTTTTCTGCTCCTAACTATCAGCCCCCAATCACTCTTTTTTTCTATTGCTGACCGTCTCCCGAAAGTCAAGTATTGTTAATTTGCTCCCACTGTTCAATAAAAAATTCATCAATATTTCTCCTTCGTGCTTCCTTCTCCTTCTCCTTCAAGTCAGAAATAATTTCTATCGTCAATTCACGTCAAATGATATATATTTTTTCTTTGATTAATAAATGTCAACGTTTTCCGTCCGGAGACCTCCTTCTCAAATTTCAGACACGGGTCCGTCTCTGCAATAGGTGCCGCCCAGGACTCTGGGGGCGCGTAAATCAGCCGATCTATGTCTACGTAATTTGGCCGAGCCTGAAGTATTACCATTCAGCAGCTTTCAAGCTCGGTATGACTCGGTTTCGGCAAACCATTGTCAGACTCTCATGACACTATAATGTCGGAAAGTACAGTCTGACCTGATTCTGATTTCGATGGGATGGCAAGCAGACCCGAAGTAACTTTAGGCCGAGTTTAGCAGCACGTAGGCCCGGGAGAATTTTGTTAGAGGTAACTTGATAATCCTTCGGAACATTAAAAATTTTATCAATTTTTTTGCCCCTTAGTTTTCAGCGCAATCCAATCAATAGCAAGATCATTATCAGCACAACTCATCGTAATTATCCTCTAATATCCTCTATAAATTACGCCGACGTTTGTTGCATCTCTTGACAGGAATTACATTGTGAATTTTTGGATGCTATGTTTGCTGCCTCTTCGGTTGACGACAAAACGAAATTATCTGTCTTACCCTGTGGAGACTTTTAACTGATGACAACTCAATAAACATAATTAAAATTAAGGATAAATAACAACGGCCTAGGAGATAGTTGATAGTTTAAAATACGTGATGCTATAGCATTTCTATTAATGAAAGGATAGTTGAAAGTTATATTGACATTTTAGTTGTGAAATTTTGATGGAAAGCTGCGATAGTTGAAATATGGTACCCAAAAAGAGATTTTAAATTAATGAAAGGATAGTTGAAACTTATATTGACATTTTAGTTGTGAAATTTTGATGTAAAGCTGCGATAGTTGAAATAGGGTAGCCAAAAAGAGATTGCAAAGCTGGCGCAACAGAAACACTTACGCCCCCGTGCGCTTCCGGCGAGATAAGCGACCAGCAGCAGCAGCCGAGCAGCACCGTGCAGGGCAGGCGTCTTCTCTGGCCACAACATGGCGCTAATTTTTTTTATTTTGCTATTGGCGACTCACATCTGAATATGGCAACGTTAATTCAATAACAGTGTCGCTAAATGTGGAATAATTTAGATCTCAGGTATTTTCCACTGATGAAATTAATGAAGTGGGGATAAGTTTTCCTTTAAACAGTGATTTTTGCTATTAGTTATGCTCACGCTACTTTGGGGTCTTTTTTGCTATTGCTGACTTGCATCTGAATATGGCAACGTTAATTCAATAATAGTGACCGTGAAATTAAAATAATTTAGATCTCAGATATTTTCCACTGATGAATTTAATGAAGTGGGGAAAATTTTTCCTTCAAGCAGTGATTTTTGTGATTAGTTATGCCCACAAGACTTAATATAAACTACAGCCACATCTGCATTTCACAGAAACAAACCCTTTTCACCGTGAATTAAGACTGCAGCTCTCACTGGCACACTAATTAAACCTAAAATTATTTGCACTACATGCTACAGACTCCGCTGCCACTAAATTATTTGCACTTCATGCTACAAACTCCGCTGCCACTAAATTATTTGCACTACATGCTACAAACTCCGCTGCCACTAAATTATTTACACTACATGCTACAGACTCCGCAACTCCGCTGCCACTAAATTATTTACACGACATGCTACAGACTCCGCTGCCACTAAATTATTTACACTACATGCTACAGACTCCGCTGCCACTAATCGCCTAGACATTGCGAGTGATCACAAATCTCATGTTTCGTACAGCATAATCTTGTTGACAGTTCGTAGGAGTTCGTAAGAATTCATAAGAGTGCTTAGTTAAGGAGATTACGGAACACGGCTTGATACATCGTTATACGCACCACAAAATTTTTTGATCAATAGTTATCAAATTATTAAATTTTTCGAATATAAATCATCCTAATATAAGTAAAATGAAATTTTCAAATCGGGAAAATTTTTCAAAGCCATCACAAGGCCTTTTTCACCCGGTTCTTGAACTGATTTAACCTCATAGAGTTACCCTGAAGCTAATTATTTAGGATTCTAATTTATTCAGAATACGCACCGAGATTATTTACTGCTACAAAAAATGGAGTACACAACCTTTACAATGATAAATGATGTTTTTAATTTTCTAAATAATGTTTTTAGTTCTCTATTATAGTTTAGTTTTTAAAATGATTAAATGATATAAACTAAAAGTAACTAATTTCAAATTCACGAGTACCCATAATCATAATTTTGTAAAATCTGGAACTCGGAATTGATTTTCTGAAGCACTGACATGAGGATAAAAATAAACAAAAGCTTCTTCAACTGCGACAGTAACGATCGCTTCACCTTTTTGCACGGACTTATTACGGTAGGAACACGTTCTCCTTTACATATCAATTTTCTTTTACATAACATTATTCATGCATCAATTTCTACATATTGGCATCGCTTCATTCCTTCAATAGTTAATTTTTTGTGTGCATAATATGTGTTGAATTCATTAATGATACCTACTCTTGAATTTTCATGTTCACTTTCCGTATTTAAAATAATATTTCTGGTCTCAGGGCCAGAGTATAAGGCGAAGTGTAATCTATTGTAATTTGCCTTAAATGGCCAGTGATAAAGTTACGTGAATTAAGGGTCGGTCACTGATATGCACGTGAGGATACGTGAGGTCACTGATATGCACGTGAGGATACGTGAGGTCACTGATATGCACGTGAGGATACGTGAGGTCACTGATATGCACGTGAGAATACGTGAGGTCACTGATATGCACGTGAGGATACGTGAGGTCACTGATATGCACGTGAGGATACGTGAGGGCACTGATATGCACGTGAGGATACGTGAGGTCACTGATATGCANTGTGGTGCGTGGTGGCCACGTATGCTGTGTTGACACGCACCACACACGTGCGTGTGGTGCGTGGTGGCCACGTATGCTGTGTTGACACGCACCACACACGTGCGTGTGGTGCGTGGTGGCCACGTATGCTGTGTTGACACGCACCACACACGTGCGTGTGGTGCGTGGTGGCCACGTATGCTGTGTTGACACGCACCACACACGTGCGTGTGGTGCGTGGTGGCCACGTATGCTGTGTTGACACGCACCACACACGTGCGTGTGGTGCGTGGTGGCCACGTATGCTGTGTTGACACGCACCACACACGTGCGTGTGGTGCGTGGTGGCCACGTATGCTGTGTTGACACGCACCACACACGTGCGTGTGGTGCGTGGTGGCCACGTATGCTGTGTTGACACGCACCACACACGTGCGTGTGGTGCGTGGTGGCCACGTATGCTGTGTTGACACGCACCACACACGTGCGTGTGGTGCGTGGTGGCCACGTATGCTGTGTTGACACGCACCACACACGTGCGTGTGGTGCGTGGTGGCCACGTATGCTGTGTTGACACGCACCACACACGTACGTGTGGTGCGTGGTGGCCACGTATGTTGTGTTGACGCAATTTGCATGTTATTGTGAGGGGTGACGGCCCTACAAATAACGGTTATGAAATAGAACTTGAAACCAGACAGCGGGAGGGCTTCCGCAGGTTTAAAAAAATAGGATCTTATTGATTCAAGAATCAATTAGGTATATCAAGTTAGAAATTAAATAATATTGTCTAGAGAATCAACGAAACTTTGTATTTAAGGATCAAAATTTTTTAATAAAGTGAGAAAATCGTCAAAATTAAAAACTATATTTCTAGATTTTGGCTTATTAGCAGGTCACCAATTTTTTATTATAATTATATATAATGTGAAATTATATAAACGAAAACATCTCTTTCATGCGCTATACGCTCTTCATGTGCACAGGACTAACATGTCTCTGCGTTGTCTTCTTCTAGTAAATATGTTTATATCTGAACATAGGCTTTCATTTGATCCAAATAAAATCAATGCGAAGGAGATCTACTGCTGCACCATGCAGGACCTCCCATGGCGGACCATGCAGGACCTCCCATGGCGGACCATGCAGGACCTCCCATGGCGGACCATGCAGGACCTCCCATGGCGGACCATGCAAGACCTACTTTATGTTGTCCACAGTATAGCACTTAATTCTCACAGCTTATCAACGGAAACATTCTCAGCTTCAGTTATGTTGTCTGCCGGCATGATATGATGATTTAATTCATGTAGAATGACCCTTGGATTTTAGCCTTTCCGTTTTGCATCGTATGGAATTGATTATGTTTATTGATGGTTCAAATGGAACTGCAGGCAAGTTATTTATAATAACACAGAACTTTTTAGGGCAAATTTGCGTATTCAATGAACTGCACGACGACGTCAGCCAGCTCTGAGGCATAATATTCACAGTCCCCAGACGTCATGTTGCCTAATATCCACAGTCCCCAGATGTCATGTTGCCTAATATTCACAGCCCCCAGATGTCATGTTGCCTAATATTCACAGCCCCCAGATGTCATGTTGCCTAATATTCACAGCCCCAGACGTCATGTTGCCTAATATTCACAGCCCCCAGACGTCATGTTGCCTGATATTCACAGTCTCCAGACCTCATGCTGCCTAATATTCACAGCCCCCAGATGTCATGTTGCCTAATATTCACAGTCTCCAGACGTCATGTTGCCTAATATTCACAGTCCCCAGATGTCATGTTGCCTAATATTCACAGCCCCCAGACGTCATGTTGCCTAATTACGCATCGGTAAATCCAACTCTAATCACGGACGTGCTAATCCGGATTAACAACCTTGGCAGGATTTATGTTCAAAGAATTAGATTAAATGGACAAATGAAGGGAATTGCACTGAATGTCACAAACCGACTTCATACAATAACTATTACGTAAATTAATAAATGCCTATGCTGTTAATACAAACTCGATTCATAACAAGAGATCAGTTTAGATTTTTTCTTCATATAAATCATAAAGTTAGACTAATTCCTATGGGTTCATTTGACTTGAATTGAGACTGTGTAAATGATACCAATGATTTATTATATATAAAGATATTTATAATTCTTTTCACTTAAGTCGACTAGTAGCCGATGATGTAGGGAGAATAAAATTCTTATTCATTTGAAGCGTTCATTTGTTTATACATTTCAGCGGTCCAAGGTGCGCTGAATTGTTCATAGTTTGTTGATCGGACATTTTTTTTCATGGGCGCCACTAAGACAAATCATATTCCGTCTCCGACTAATTGAGCTGTACTTGAAAAGGTAAATGTTGAAATTAAAAAGATTTTTGGGAAATTAATCAGGTACTTTACGTAAATAAAGAGCTAGTACATTTGCCTTACATTCTCGGTTATGTGAAGTCCGGGATCATTTCAACAGCATTCAGTTTATGGTCAAAATTAATTGTATTTTTTGACAACAAGAAGCGGAATTTCTAATTTTTGCTTGGCTTTACATCAGTCATCATTAATGGTATTTTTGGACTATTTTCTAATTTTCAATTTCTTCTAGACTTTACATCAGTTATCATCTTTTACGAAATTCCGAGCAGAAAGCACCAATCAAGAGCACGAATTGAGCGACCGGACATTATTGCGACCGGTGTAGGGGAAGGATTGCAGCGAATCTCACTAATTGGGATACCAAATCGTATGAAATACCGCAGCGGGGAATACCGATGCCAAATCTTTGATACGGTACAACTCAATTGTTATAGAATAATTGAAACACGTGGCTTCCAATATCACTGATGTGGTAGAACAAAGATATATTTAACATTGTAATAATAATTGGCATGTGATGGTCGATTATTTAAACTTTATTTATGCAATCCTAATGAATTGAGCGTGGCTTGTTAACTGTTACTTTATGCGATGCCCAGCATTTTTTTCTAATGAGAACATGAGTGTTAAGGGATAATTTGATATTTATAATTGAATTATTTAGCTCATCTACACACTCCAAAGCAAAATGGAATCATAAAGAATCCGAAAAATTGGAATATTCAACAGTTAGTTGGACAATTTTGCAAAGTTATATGTTAAATTTATAGCAACGAATTTCCTGGTAGATGAATACACAAATCATATCATTACTTGACCTGAATTCTTGATCTAACTCATCGAAATATACATAAAATATCATATTTTGTGTTATTTTTTTAAATTTGTGATGACAAAATAATTAAATATTCCGATATTTCTTTGAATTAGGGATTTTCTGTATCGAATGAAGAATGAATTAAGAGAGCAGGCAACGCTGACGTAGAAGGTGAGCAAAATAAGTAAAGCATACGAGGCTCAAAAAATTATTAGACACACAATTTTATTTTATTACTAATTTTATTTTGAAAACAATATCACGAGAGACGATTTTTTCTTTGTTAGCCACAAGTATAACTGAGGATTAGTTTAAATGTCTTTAGTGAAACGAATTTCCCAGAATAAAATTTAATTTTAATTAGTATATTGACGGTTATTTCTCCACGATGTAAACTCCGTGTGAAAATTTACTGATCAACAATCTTCAGAAGTACTGCCGAATTGCATGCCATATCATGTGATAGAACAATCCTGCAGTACAATAAATAACAACGTGGACTCTAAAATAAGAGATGGCAATGCACTGAATATCCTGATCCTCTGTTGTAGTTGTCGGAGTGTGGAATGACCTTTAAAATAAGAGATGGCAATGCACTGAATATCCTGATCCTCTGTTGTAGTTGTCGGAGTGTGGAATGACTTCTCGGGACATGGTGGGACAGACGAGGGGTCTGGGACAGCGGCACTTCACCTCAACTTGAGACCCGCTGTCGGCCACTGAGATTTCTTTGCACGGAGATCCGGACTGGCAAACTGGCAGCTGAGGGTATAAAGAGGGGAAACTTTATTACATTAAGAGGGTACAACTTTATTATTATAAAGTATTATATTATTAGTATTTTAAAGTATAAAGTATTATATTATTATTAAGAGGGGGCAACTTTATTGCATTGTTCTTCCTGAGATCAGTGTAAAAAAGAGGGTACAAAGAGGGGAAACTTTATTATATTGTTCTTTTTGAGATCAAAGAGTGAAAAGAGAGTGCAAAGAGGGGAAAATTTATTATATTGTTCTTCTTGAGATCAAAGAGTGAAAAGAGAGTGCAAAGAGGGGAAACTTTATTATATTGTTCTTCTTGAGATCAAAGAGTGAATAGAGAGTGCAAAGAGGGGAAACTTTATTATATTGTTCTTCTTGAAATCAATGAGTGAAAAGTTGGTACAAAGGGGGGCAACTTAATTATATTATTCTTCTTGAGATTGAAACCTGATCCAGAATTCGTAATTTCTTTGAGGATATCAAGAAACAAAACGGAATTAACGCATTGAAAAAGCATTTATTTTACTCAAAATAATCGTAATTCGTTTTATAGCCATAATAAAAATATTTTTTTAAATGAATGAATTTTGAAGTATTAAACGAAAACTTACACAATGCCTTATGGTAAAAGTGTTCCTATAATATTGCATCTTGAACAAATGCCATCACAGGACCTAGAGCTTGAATAGACAGCGCTGCAAATATGTGACTGTAATTACCTGGTTGCAGGAGTGACTGTACTGACCTGGTTGCAGGTGCGACTGTAATTACCTGGTTGCAGGAGTGACTGTACTGACCTGGTTGCAGGTGTGACTGTACTGACCTGGTTGCAGGAGTGACTGTACTGACCTGGTTGCAGGTGTGACTGCACTGACCTGGTTACAGGTGTGTACCGAGGATATAACAAGCATGCCGTCTTCAAAGGACTCTTGTGTATGAGCTGGCACGAGGTGGTGGCCGCTGGCTGGGCAGTAACAAATGAGGCGGTGGGATCCTGACAGGATTTGGTAGGATGGAGGCTGTAGGTAAAACGCAGACACGTACGCCTTCTCCGAGCGTCCGCATACGCGCAGCGGGTTGGGCTGGTGGCAGAACTGGGCACCAAGCAACCAGGGTGGTAAGTGGCCAAATTATTGGGTGATATTTGGGTGCATACATGTCTTTTTATATGTTTATGGAGGTAAAATACATAAAAATAATATTTTAGGTAGGGTTAGTTGGATACAGAATTAGATATTAATTCAAAATGAAAATATTTGATACTGACTAAAGACTTATTCTTTTTATATGTTTAAGGAGGTAAAACACATAAAAGTTATTTTTTGTAGGTTTATTTGAATTAAGTATTAATTTAAAATGAAAATATTTGATACTATCTACATCTGTAATTAGTACCATATTTGGTACTAACTACATCTGTGAGCAGAGATAATTAATATTAGAGCGATTATTTTATAAGAAGTTTCCTTTAATCAGAGAAGTGTTTTATTCAGAGAAGTATTTTAATCAGAGAAGTATTTTAATCAGAGAAGTATTTTAATCAGAGAAGTATTTTAATCAGAGAAGTATTTTAATCAGAGAAGTATTTTAATCAGAGAAGTACTTTAATCAGAGAACTATTTTAATCAGAGAAGTATTTACCTTGTACTGTTTTGGCCCGACTGTAACAGATCTGCCGTCCTCTTGGTCCCACACGAGGGGACATGGGGCGCTGGCCCTGGGGCAGCTACAGAGGGGTACGCTGCTCACGCCGAAGGCGTTCACCTCAACCAGCCCACACACGGCACCCCGTGCGCAGTCCGGGGGCACCTCCACTGACTGCGGTGACGACGAAACCGGCGTCAGTGCGAACATTTAATTTATTTTATATTCATTGTTTGTATGAACCAGCGTACAAACAGTTAATTCAGTTTATATTAATTCTTTGGATGAACCAGCGTACGAACAGTTAATTCGGTTTATATTCATTCTTTGTATGAACCAGCGTACGAACAGTTAATTCAGTTTATATTCATTCTTTGGATGAACCAGCGTACGAACATTTAATTCAGTTTATATTCATTCTTTGGATGAACCCGCGTACGAACATTTAATTCCGTTTATATTCATTGTTTTAATGAACCAGCGTACGAACATTTAATTCAGTTTATATTCATTCTTTTGATCAACCGGCAAATTGCTTACTTCTAACCCGTATTCATGCCCCAATGTGCATCGCAATAATTTTGTTCTTTTACTTACTAATCAGCTACTTTATCAATGAAAACGTAATATATATAATAAAAATTAAATATTTTCCATTATTTCTCTCAATGAATGAGTCGCATTTGTTGCTCAGAATATAATAATAAAATGCTATTGGTATGTTGAAATATTGGGGCATATTGCTTACACCGCTAGCAACGCGGCTAACCTAAGCTGCCACACCAATCTTTGTACGTTCATTGTAAAGAATCATGAAACATCGATTGATCAAATATGCTTGGTGACCACAACGACTGTACCTTTTTTATCGCAATAATATAATTGCTTTAGTTGCCGGCACCACTCTTAGATAAACATAAACTTTTAGATAAACAAAATAAACATAAACACTGTTGAACTTGAGGTTCGAACCTGCAGGAGCTCTAACGTTGCCAATGGAACTCAGTCCGACAGAGAAAACTTCAAGAACTTTTCCAACAGTTTGCCCGTTTCTAATGTTTATCAAAATGCAACTCAGTCCGACAGAGAAAACTTCAAGAACTTTGCCAGCCAACAGTTTTCCCGTTTCAGTAATGTTACGAATTAAATTTTTGTAATCAGTTTAAACTACTTTTTCTGTTTGAAGGCGTTCAATAAGTACCTATATGATGTTCAATTTGAATTAAGTATTGCAATCCACAGTTCCTTAATTGATTTACTATTTTTTGATAACTGATAATCATTGACGCATTTGAAAATAGTTGATTATGTATAAATATATTGATAGTCTTTAACAATAACTCTTATTATATTCAAGTTACAATTTGGTGCCAAAATAATTATTATAAACGCAATGCACTCACGTTGAAAAATTATCTTAAGTAAACTATGTTCTTTTAATCAGAGAATCAAAGCGAAAAAATACACTGCTCGTTGTTATTTCCTGTTGGAATCAGAGAGCGTCGAAATTTATTACTTAATCAAGTAATATGTTTTAAATGTTCCAGTGTAATTAAATGAGTGAAGAAGATGAAGCAAGCCTGTGAGCAGGCTAGCAACCTGACTGTAAACGGCGGTGAGTTGAATACGCTAATTCGGTTGAATTGTATGACGTGAGACTGTTGAATCTGTTGAGTCATTCCGGTTATATATGACGTGAGACTGTTGAATCTGTTGAGTCATTCCGGTTATACTTGTTGTAAAGAGACTCGAAGGAATAAACTCATTGAACTCATGTTGTGTTTATTTGTTAAATTGAATTAATTGAACTTAGTAGTAGCAGGAGGTGAAGCTTTCAAGTTAACTGAGAATTAAAAGTGTGAGCCTCCGAATATTCCTTATTGTGAGCCTCCGAATATATTCATCAGCAAAAAAAATACGAAATTGAATATAGCATGAAATTACTTATCATTCAATTAGAGGGGTGCGACCAACGAGCGCTATAAAATCAATGAATTTGAATTTCAAAGTGAAGGGATAATCGATTGGATAACTAGCAAATGTATTCATGGTGAAAGTTGAAGAATTTAACAGGAAGATTACTGGCTGGTCACATTAAAATAATACTATGCCTGTGCAAAAAAAATTTGCTATTGCGCAGCGGCTTTCTGAAATTAATACTGAAGTTGTGTCCATCTTTTGCCTCTAAACTGCCTCAATGAATAATAACTGTTGTCCGTTATTTCTTTTTGATGTCATTCGTATTTTCGGCACAAAAAGACATGAAACACTCAATGACCATTTTTTCTAGTATTTAGGTGTTACAAACTGTTTTATTTTTCGTTGTAATATTATCAAATATTTATTCTTTTGTCATTAGACTCTTCAAATCGTAAGTTCACTACGTAAGAATTTAAAAGCAAATGAAATGCAATTAAACTCCCAATATTTTTTAAACGAGTTTAGTTTTTACTTTGATAAGCACTAAAGCTGCGTTATGAATTTTCTGAGGCAATTTCGTGGCTGAACTGTTCTGACGCCATATGTATGCAAATTTTTCAATGCTTAACTCTTTGAACGGCCGTCGGTTGCCAGCTAATTAGTCAAGTCAAATAACATTTTATTTAAGGAGAATTTTAGTGCTGATTTTCAGTCCAATGCTGTTTGCGTAAAAGTTCCACTTCGGCAGCCTACGCGCGTATCGCAAACTGTTGAAAAAATACATTTAGCCTGATTTTTTATTACAACACTTCTCTTTAACTTCACTTTTTGTTTGTTTGTCTGTTACAAATCTTATAATCGATATTCAACACACTTCTACCTCTGCAATCGATCTGAAATTTTGCACACTCGCGTTAAGTCGGAGACAACGCATGAATTAATTGATAGAATAAATAATTTTGAAAAATAAGAAAAATTAAATTTTATAACTAAAATTAAAAAATTTTCTTCAACATTCGATAACAAAATTAGAAATTTATTGTACATGTGTAACATCGAAGATGTTGGATTCTTTAGAAGTGTTGGCTTTAAAAGGTAATTTTTAAACGCATGTTAATATAATTATTATTACAATTAATATCATCAACACCAGCACTAGTCCTACTATAACATTTTCATGGATGTCAGTCTAAATGGAGGACAGAGCAATATTAGATCCCAACTAAATTGTCGAATTCAATAATCATTCTAAGTCGCTCATAATACTTGAAGGTACGCGTCTGCCATTTCTATGGTTGGTTGGTCATTGTTTGAGTTCCAGCTCTGTAGTTGTACCGTAAGTTATGTATCAGATTTAGAAGTAATTTGTTCACGATGTTAAAACTCCGACATGGAAGGAGAAAATTCCAATTATTGACTAGGGTGCAGGCCTCAAAACTTGGTAACGGTGTGGGTGTTTGAGTGAAATCTTTTCTGAATTCCTCCGCACGTATGAGCGGAGGAATGTAGCTACTTATCTCATATTGTATTCATATTGTATTCACGTATGAGCCTCCTTTTCCCTAACGCTGAATAGAATGCGGTGTTATTGCACGACACTCCTGACTGCAATTCTGTTCAGTTGTTATTGAAAGTTCGGGCTCGGTAACAATAGGTAATCGTGTTCGGGCTCGATATCTAATGTATCGTGTATTGCATTCGGGCTCGGTAACTTATCGTTACCCAGCCCTAACACGTTTACTTATCGCTACCTAGCCTGAACACGAGTTCGGACTCGGTATCCCGAACCGAGCCCGAACCCGAATTCGGGCTCGGTAGCGATAAGTAAGCGTGTTCGTGCTCGGTTACGGTAAGTAACCGTGTTCGGGCTCGGTAGCGATAAGTAATGGTGTTCGGGCTTGGTACTCGGGTAATCGTGTTCGATTATATGTCCAAAATAATTATTATTTCCAGTTCACTATAAACTATATACACCTTTCAACGATTAGTACCTGATGGAGATACACTCAACATTCTTCTTCAGGTATACGAACAATATTCAATATTTTATAGTGTATCCACAGGCATTTCTTCAAACTTTTCAGTAAATTTTATTTAAACCGTTTGAGTTGTTTAAATTTAAAAATAATTATGCAATTATACCGCATAAAATTCTAGACGATTTCTAATCATAATTTTGCCAAAAACATGACATTATGATTGCGGACCAAGTATATTTTCACTAGAGCTGCTGCAGAGCGCTGCAGACACGGAACAAGTTGTTTGATCCACTCTCTCTTCTTCTTAAGCATTAAGCAGAAGTCTGCCAGGGTTCCATGACAGAAATTTTCCTGAAAAGCTGATGCTTGATTATGCAAATCAAACTTATTTTCTTAACCAAGTCTAATGATTGCAGAGACAACGCGGGCTGCAGTACTGGCATAAGAGAAGGAACTGCCGAATCGCTTAGTATGCTTCTCAATCAAATGCTATTGTTACATTTCGATTTATCGATTATCAGATAATTTTACACAGTCAAAATAAAGCAAAAATATCAGGACAAATTAAAAATGAGTGTGTTATAGACTGGGCACCATGGGCCATACTTTCAAAAAAAGCTAAGAGATCGTAAGTTCATCAGCCAATCATTGACGGCCTTTCAAGTAAAATCCACCAATCATAGACAAGAAAATAGAGCGTAAGTACTTACGTTCACTTGGCGAGTTTTTAAAGTATGGCCCCTGGACTACTGCTCTTAGACCTGCTGTTATCTGCGATATGAATTGATCAAGGGAGACTGGCTCCTGCATCTGGCAAGAGTAGTACTTGCGGTGTAGTACTTGCCCTAACCCAAGCCGGTGGTTATCGAGATGCTTATAATTCTCAAATCGATAGATGAAACCAAAATAAGAAAACATTTCAATTTCTCTATACAGAAAATTTTAGGAGGAAACTTCTTTCAGTAGTTTCAGTAAATTCTCTCAAGCAAATGAATTTGGCACAGTTAGCATGCATAGTAGCGCGCACAGTTAGTATGCGCGGCATTTCTTGCGATAAATCCTTCACGTATTTTTTTAGTTTTTCATGATGAAATTTTCAAGTCATTTTTTAATTAATGAACATTTTTTTATTCGGTGAATGAATTCCAGATTACTATCAATTTATTTGCTTTCTTGGCGTTTCAGTTGAAACATTGACTGGCATAGCAGTGGCAAAATGAATGCCTAGCAAAAATTCAAAATAATTTTAACGAAATTAATTGTTTACAGCTGGAAGATAAATAGACTCCACTGAACACGATTGTGAAGGAATTTAATATGTATTTTTAAAGTTATTAAATAGATTCAATGCGTATTTGTCCTTTACCTCATCGATGCTGTCGTACACTTCGTTGTTGGAGAGACTGCCAGACGCTGGAACCGCTGTCACAACCACGACCATTGCCACCACCACAAAACTCACCAAAACCAACACTCGTGAATTCCTAACCATTTTTCATGGATTAATAAACACTCTCGAGCAGCCAGAGGATATTTTTCAGCACGTTCCCTCAAGTAATTTCAGTTTAAGTAGTAGTTTGTGATGTTATGTTTAGTAGTTTGTAATTATCTTGCTGTTAGATTAATTTACTTCAACTCTGGTTATTTTATTGAACGATAATTGAGGTTCATAAATTTGGTCTCCAGAATTTTGAGTTTTCATTAAAAAGTCAGAAAATGAATTAACGAAACAATCGTTGCAGAATTAACCCCTCAAAGTGTTCAAATTTATAATGCTTCAATGTTAGTATAAATGCTGAGTAAGCCAAGTTCTAGTTTGACGAGTTTCCGGAAATAAATTTTGGATGCGTCCTAAAAACCAATGGTGCAATCTAACCAAATGTCTTTTTAAGACGAAACTGAATTAATATAGATTCCAACTAGAGGAATATATTTATAGAGCCACATTCATCTTTCTGAAATGAAAATACGAAAATTATGGCATGTTATATAGCAGGTTTTGTTCGCAAGTTATGACGTGTGCGTGCAAGTATATTTGCTTGCATATTATTATACACAGAATATGAATGAATATTATTATATACAGACAATGAATGTGTATTATAATTCACATACATTTTCTTGGATTGCGTTTGGAAAAATTCGGAATAAACATATTCCGACTTTAGGGAAAATTTTCTTGAATAGAAGAAAAATTGTTCATGTTATTCGGCAAGACGATTACTCTAGAAAATAGAAATAAGGAAATAAATAATTGCACCAAATCATTTGGCTGGAACCGCTACTTCAAGTCAGTGACATTCGATAACAGAGCAGCGATTGACCAGCTCGCTCAACGGCCTCGGCACAAATGATCGTAGCCAAGGTTCAGCTCTGTCTTATATAGCCTCACCGAGCACCCGCTTTCCCTCGATGCCCCGTCCAGCTGGCCAATCCGGGCACGTTGATGCCTAAATAAACCCCACCTACGCCTAAACCTGAGGCAAATTGCGCCTTTTTTGGTTCTATTGTTGGCGCGCACCAGTTCCGGCATATGGTCGCTAGGAGAGGGCAAGAGGATTAATTACTTGATTTGACTGTGCTAAAAAAATGTGAATAAAGAACCACCACTTTCTCATCGCCCACCCGGTTTAACCATTCAAAGCCCTGAGCCCCTCTCTCCCAAACTCAAACTGTGCTAAAAAAATGTCAATAAAGAACCACCACTTTCTCATTGCCCACCTGCTTTAACCGTTCAAAGCCCTGAGCCATCCCCGACTTCAAGCAAATCTCACCCACCTATGACAGACCCAATCATGCGCAATGCGCCTTTTTCATCTATTACTGTCTTTTCCATTTCCCATTCCTTTTCTGGCCACTCCGCGCCACCTTTTGTTCTCTTTCACTCTTTCCTAGGGGCACCTAAACAGCAACAACTTGAGTGAAAAGTCTTAAGAGAAGTTTAAGGAGTCTTAAGAGGAATGTAAGGAGACGAATAAGGCCTCAGATATTGTAGGATCCGGAACATTTAATTTTCTGTTCGCTCTGAAATATCTGAGGCGATTTAAACAAACTAAATTATTTTGTCTGGGCGTTTCGTTTGCTTGATTTGGATCACTACATTTGTAAGAAAAAATTTCATTCCGATCGAATAAGTTGACATAAAACAAATAGAATATCATAATTCTTTGCTCTTAATTGTAAAGCAAAAAAAATATATTCAAATCTTTGATGCAGAAAGCAGTAGAATTTCAACACGTTGAAAAAGATACTTGAATCTCAGGAACAAAATCCGTAGAGTTTTGACGCGTTGAAGATACTTGAATCTCCGGAGCAAGGTCCGTAGAGTTTCAACGCGTTCGTAAAGCCAAAATCAAGGCTCTGCCCTACCGAGCTGCCAAGTCCCAAATCCCTGAGACCGAGAAATTGGTGTAAAATCTGATTTAGCGAGTAAGTTCGGCCGTTACCTTTATGTTCTTGTGATCACTTCCGCGACATATTTGTGGCTGGACCCGCCCCTTGCCTAAATAATATGGGCGATTATGATAATAATATTAAAATAATATAATATACAATAAGATAATAATATATCATATATATTTATATATATTAATAATAATATAATAAAAAAATAATATGGGGCTACGGGCGATTTCCAGGAAGTATTCGCATTTCACTCACGCTCCGGGTAGGGGCTAAAAACGTGAATTGCTCGCAAGGCGAGCAATTCACGAGCTCGGGGTTCCCTCTTGAAGCATTAGGCATGCCTAGACTCCTCCAATGTGCGACAATCGAAAGAGAAATCCTGCGTTAATCTACGGAATGTTCCCTTCTTATTTGGATTGTTTTGTCGTATCTATCATTGAAATTTTGATTCATGAAGCCATGATATACCAATCGGTGTAGAATAAATTGAAAAACGAATGCACATCGCGAAAATAATATAAAACTTCAATGTTTGACGAACATTGACTGCAAAATTTGCCTCAGTGTTAGCAGGCGTGATACAAAGTTTATAATACATCTCAAAGTCCAAAGTTTAGAAGTCAATAGTTGGAATGGCATCAAAAATTCCAACCTGACATCTAATTTCAGAGTTAAGTTGCAGCGGGAGGACTTAGTAAAGATATCCCATAGGACTTAGTGAAGATATCCCATAGAACTTAGTGAAGATATCCAATAGGACTTAGTGAAGATATCCCATAGGACTTAGTGAAGATATCCCATAGAACTTAGTGAAGATATCCCATAGAACTTAGTGAAGATATACCATAGGACTTAGTGAAGCTATCCCATAGAACTTAGTGAAGATATCCAATAGGACTTAGTGAAGATATCCCATAGGACTTAGTGAAGATATGCAAAAGGACTTAGTGGAGATATCCCATAGGACTTAGTGAAGATATACCATAGGACTTAGTGAAGATATACCATAGGACTTAGTGAAGATATTACATAGGAAACAACTCGGCCTGTGAGGCGGCTGACAGCGCTTGGGAGGCCTCCGAAAAAATACGACGCTGTTGAAAGTAATTAATAAAATTAGCGCTGTAGAAGTTCCCATGGACTGGGAAAGGAAAAGAAATAAACGATTCAAGTTTTTAAACAATCCCATTAAATGGTTCAAGTACAAAATACTTATTAATAAAAATATTCCACATGAAGTCAACTGCATATAGCCTTACAATAGCAAGTAACCCAACCACAGATACATGTACCACGGGAGGAAAGTGAAACTCGATCCAGTTAATGTTTGGAAAGTTAGATATAAGATATTCTTCACGAATATATAATTATGTCCTGTGTATTAAAGACTTCTCTGTATATAAAAGAATGAACACCACACCAGTGGTGTTCATTCGAAGTGATGGCATTTAGTAAACACAAATGTAATTATTAAAAGCTTAATAACGACTTTCAGTAATAACGACAATAACGATCAGTATAAATTTAGAAAATAATTAGAAATAATTGTCATGATGATGCATCATCCATCATCGCCTCCAGGCAAGTTTCCTCTCGAAGTAAAGCTCAACCCAAAAAATAACAAACAGAAAATATGTTTTTCAGAATATTTGAATACGACACAGTCGAGACAAACTAGGTATGAAATAACTCCTATAAAAATAGAATCGGAAATTATTCATATAGATTTATATTCCTTAATGATACCTGTAGGCTTCAAAGAAACCGTCTAGGTTGAGGGCGGTGTAACTTAGTGATGAGAGAAAACTTAATGGACAGGAAAAGCAGAACAAAATTGCACGTTCTTTCAAGAAATTCAAAAGAATTATCTAAAAATGGGAATATGTTTTATTTATTTTTTTAACTTCTAGACGAAACAGAGAGCAGCAAGAACAGACTAGAAGCTAGGTATTCCCAAACATAGTAAATAAATCTATACCTGAAACTAATGATACATAACATATCATTATGACATAACAATATAATTATATATCATTATGATATAACATAAAAAAATACTTATCATAGCAGCTCTCATTACCTAGCTAATACATAAAACATCCAATTGAGCATCGGGAACAAAATTAACTGAACTCGCCACACGCGGTCCTGTCCATTGACGGACGAAGGCGTCTTTAGGTACCCGATTGTAAAACATTCTACCCTCTTGAACAGAGGCAGAAATGATGTTGTACATTCCTACCCACATGTAGTTTTTAATAATATTATTGCCTCTTGACTTTGGCACACATTCAGTAATCAGTTACTTTAAGCTTCATGAGCCAAATATAACTTTTTCACTTCCCCCAAAAACGAAATTTTCAACGCTTCAAATTAACCATTCTAAGCCTCTTTTCAATTACTGGGGTCGCGACAGCTCAATGATGGGTTGCCTACAGCTTGCTCTTCTCATCGAAGAGTTCCTTGAGCTTCTGACTCATCATGATGTTGCCGGAGACCTTAAGAGCGCCACTCATGAAGGCCTTCTGAGGGTTGAGTTTACCCGACACCAGCTCCAGCAGGGGCTGCTCCTCTAGGGTCAAGGTGACGTCGGGGCGAACCCCTGAGGGGGAGCCCTGGTACACCGACCCTGGCGAGGTCTTAAGGTCCACAGCTGCACGGAAATGGAAGAATGTAAATACCATTTTTGAGGAGTGTGTCAACTACAAAAATGACGAAAATAATTTTTCCCACAGCTGCCAGGTAAGAAAAGAATGTAAATAAAATTTTCGAGGAGTATGTCAACACCAAACATGACGAAAATAAGTTTTAAGTTAGCATTAAAAGTCCAGAAAGATCAAGCGTAAAATATTTTAATAAATCAGTTCATAACCACAATGTCGGCAGCTGTGATGTGCAAAAACAAACACACACCAATCCTCATAGGAACACAATTGCCCGCCAACAACGACATCGTTAAGTTTGAATAAAATGTAAATTTCTTTAGCCAAGAAAGCCCAAAATAAGAGAGGTAAGCTCTGAATAACCTATCATTTTTAATACCTATCATCAGTTTTTTACAACTGCATAAAATATTTAACTAAAAATTCCAAAAAGTGCTACATGACTGCGACTATAGAAGACTCACTCCACTGCGACACGACTTGGTCGTTGGCTTTGATGTTCCAGAGGAAAACTCCGCTGACTTTGTGGACGAGCTTCTCGCCCTGCGCCGCCACGCGCGCCCCCAGCGCTGCGAAGAACGCGTCCGCCTTCGGGGCTCCCGACGCGGCGGGGGCGGCGGCGGTGGCGGTGGTGGTGGTGGCGGGGGTGGCGGTGGGTGCCCCTGAGGAGGACTTGGACGGAGCGAGGTCCACGTAGCCTCCTGACGAGGGGAGGGAGTGGGTGGTGTTAGAAAAATTTAAAGAGTGAGGAAATTGAATAAAGTCGATAATTGAACTAGGCGGTCGTTAGGTCAAAGAACAATCACTGTTCTCCGATTAAACGTTGATGCTTTGAAACTGTAGTGGTTCACTACTGTAAATGTTTAAACTGCATTTGTTTAAAGTTGTATTTATTTAAAACAAAAATTGTGAACAACTGCAGTGGTGTTCATTTGAAGCGTCGGACACTAAAACAGTAAACTTTCGATGGAGGGCAAAGCGCTGACCTGACAAGCACACGTCACACCTGACAAGCACACGCCACACCTGACAAGCACACGTCACACCTGACAAGCACACGCCACACCTGACAAGCACACGCCACACCTCACAAGCACATGTCACACCTGACAAGCACACGTCACAACTGACAAGCACACGCCACACCTGACAAGCACACGTCACACCTGACAAGCACACGTCACACCTGACAAGCACACGCCACACCAGACAAGCACACGTCACACCTGACAATGTCTCTTATACACATCTAGATGTGTATAAGAGACAGCACCAGTGGTGNCCCTCACCTTGATGGCCCTGAAGGCACCGGGGTCGTGGGGGCAGTAGGTGGCCAGGAAGGTCCCTCACCTTGATGGCCCTGAAGGCACCGGGGTCGTGGGGGCAGTAGGTGGCCAGGACGGCCCTGCAGGCGATGCCGAGGGAGCAGAGGCCGTGCAGGATGGGGGTCTTGAAGCCCCCCATTGCCGCGAAGGAGGGGTCGATGTGCAGGGGGTTCAGGTCCCCGGACAGGCGGTAGAGGGCGGCCTGTTGGGGCAATGAATAGATGAGTCAAGATGACCTACATAATGGTAAGAGAAAAAGTTAGTATTCATGTACTTGTTGATATTCAATTGCTAAACATGGAACATTCATAGAACAAAGTGGAAGCACTGCTTCCCCCTCACTGCGGCCCTAATTTTCGTCCCTTGCGACGCACCGAGGAGGGAACAACAGCACAACACAAGCAAGCACTCATGTTCCATCAGTTCCTATAAGGACATTCATGTTCCTATAAGCACATTCATGTTCCTATAAGCACATTCATGTTCCTATAAGCACATTCATGTTCCTATAAGCACATTCATGTTCCTATAAAGACATTCATGTCCCTATAAGGACCCCGCCACAGGACCTGGTCGACGCTGGTGGTGTAGTCGACGGTGGCGTCGGGTGCCGCGTCAGGGGCGTCCACCAGCGGCACGACGGCGGCGTTGCTGCGCCGCCCGCCGAACTTGCCGGCGCCCGCGACGTACAGCAGGAACTGCGACGTCGCCACCAGCTCCCCGACGTCGTCCTTCGTCGTCACTGCAGGCATATGACGGCATCAGACAGAGGAAAGGCTTATGACGTCAAGCAGGATGGGGGAAAACATAACTGCTTAACGTACCTAACCTAACCCTTGGCCATATTAAGGGCCCATTAACGTACATTTGAACATATTAAGGGCCCTTAAACGTACTCTTTACCACATCAATGAGACCTTAACGTACCCTCTTGACCACAGTAAAGGCCCCACAACGTACCCAAGACCACATTAAAGGCCCCCGACGTACCCTTGGCGACGATGAGGGCGCCGTTGCGCTTGTCCAGGACGTCGACGACCTCAAGTGTGGACCGCAGCGTCGCCCCCGTCGCGGCGAGCGGCTTGTGAAGCTCCAGGAACTGCTCTCCGTGCAGCAGCTGTGGGGCAGTAGAGGGTACGTGAGGGCAGGTGAGGGTAGGGTGAGGGTAGGTTAGGGTAGGGTGAGGGTAGGGTGAGGGTAGGTTAGGGTAGGTGAGGGTAGGTTAGGGTAGGTGAGGGTAGGTGGAGGTAGGTGAGTGTAGGTGAGGGTAGGGAGAGGCTAGGTGAGGGTAGGTGAGGGTAGGTTAGGGTAGGTGGAGGTAGGTGAGGGTAGGGAGAGGCTAGGTGAGGGTAGGTGAGGGTAGGTTAGGGTAGGTGGAGGTAGGTGAGGGTAGGTGAGGGTAGGGAGAGGCTAGGTGAGGGTAGGTGAGGGTAGGTTAGGGTAGGTGGAGGTAGGTGAGGGTAGGTGAGGGTAGGGTGAGGGTAGGGTGAGGGTAGGGTGAGAGTAGGTGGAGGTAGGTGAGGGTAGGTGAGGGTAGGGAGAGGGCAGGTGAGGGTAGGGTGAGGGTAGGTGAGGGTAGAGTGAGGGTAGGTGAGGGAAGGGTGAGGGTAGGGAGAGGCTAGGTGAGGGTAGGTGAGGTTAGGTGAGGGTAGGGTGAGAGTACGTGAGGGTAGGTGACGGTACAAGGGGCGTGGGGCATGAGAGCACGTGGGGCATAAGGACACGTGGGGCATGAGGGCACGTGGTCTGCCAGGAAGGCAGGCCCCACGTACCCTGGTGAGGTCAGGCTGCCAGGAAGGCAGGCCCCACGTACCCTGGTGAGGTCAGGCTGCCAGGAAGGCAGGCCCCACGTACCCTGGTGAGGTCAGGCTGCCAGGAAGGAAGGCCCCCCGTGATGAAGGCGCTACTGAAGACCCCCTGCTGGGCAGCGATGAGAGCGAAGGTCGGCAGGGCGGTGAAGTCTTCGCTGCCTTCGTACAGGTAGCGCAGGAAGTCCGCGTCCCGAGTGCTTGCTCCCACTGCAATGATTAGTTAATTAAATAAACTGACAGTTAGGTAATAATAATAATGATAAGAACATTAATAATATATTATTAATTAATTTACATTAACAATATATTATTAATTAAATTACATTAATAATGCACCATAATAATAACAATGATAAGAACGTTAACTATATCAACAACCATTGCTACATCAGCCGTACCAACAATATTATTGATGATAATAAATTATAAATTATCATCAATATAAATATAAATTATAAAATATTATAATTATCGAGTCTCGATCGTCAGGCCATAAGAACACTAATTGATAATAGTGATTCAGGACTAAAATATAATTGATGACAATAAAGTATTGCAATTATCGATAAAATATTATTGATTACAATACATGATATCAATTATCAGTAATATATTATTGATTGCCATAAATGGTATCAATTATTGCTAAAATATTATTGGCTACAATATAGTACATCAATTATCGCTAATATATTATTTACTACAAGATATTATATCAATTATCGCTAATATATTATTGGTAAGACTAAATGATATCAATTATCGGTAATATAATTGATATTATCCTGTTAATAGTAGTAATATCAGTAATAGTAATATAAAATAAAATACATTTATATATATATAATATTATAATTATCCTATAATATTTTAATTATATAATTATAATATTATCATTATAATATAATATATAATTATCCTATAATATTATAATTATTTAATTATAACATTACCCCCCAGGGCGTAGAGGACGACGTCTCGTGCGGTGTAGGTGAAGGCAGGCGCTGTCTCCACCAGCCCAACCGCTGACAACTGCCCGCCGTACACTCATTTAAATACGTGGTGCCAACACTCATACTGATTTAGTTACATACACCAATACAAGCGCCATCATAAGCGTATAGTTAGCCTAACACCCACACAATGACCCTCTTAACCTTGGTATTACCATTATTAAAAAATAAATTTCTAATATGCATCCACTTATACGTGAAATTTGTTCAATTAATTACCCTTATTATATACAGTATTGACTACCCTGACATTATATAGCATTAAATAAAGTGAATATTTAAATAGCATGAAGGCAATAAGTTCATTATTTAAAATCTTCAGGTTTATGAGCTATAACCACGGAGATGGGTTCATTAATGACATATTTATGATCAGAGTGATATATATTTTTTTCTTTTAGCTTCGCATTTTTAGCAATTTCTCCCTGGCTATGTCAACTCAATCAAGGTCAATTAACTTGTATAATATTAATTAACCCCGACATATATTATGTTAAGCAACAAGTTGCCTGGGATCTCACTGGTCCTGTGATGCCATCCTTCCCTCCTGCGCCTCCTTCAGTCTTCTCCTGCAGATCCTGCAGCTCCTGCACGCCGTGATATTCATCGTACATTACTAATTAATAATAATATATTCGTCATACATAAATATTTTTTTAATTTATTTTATTTTAATTAACATTCCTACCCTCAGACACTGAGGTAGTATTGAAGGGAATGTGAAGGGGAGCTTGGAACCTTTATCACCCTCATCACACCCATAACTCCCCATCACCCTCATCTCCCCATCACCCTCATCACCCCCATCACCTTGGCCAGGAGCCCCACGGCCTCCTCATTGGATGTAGGATGCACCACATCACCCCCATCACCCTCATCACCTTGGCCAGGAGCCCCACGGCCTCCTCATTCGATGTAGGATGCACCACATCACCCCCATCACCCACATCACCTTGGCCAGGAGCCCCACGGCCTCCTCATTGGATGTAGGATGCAGGGCGCCGATGAAGGAGGTGATGGCGGGCCACGCGTCCCGCACCTGCTCGGGGGAGACGACCTGCAGCAGGTCACCGCGCAGCACCTGCCCCTGACTGCGCTCGAACCTGTCTGTAGGGTGCAGACAACAGGTGTAGAACCTGTCTGTAGGGTGCAGACAACAGGTGTGATGTGCAGACAACAGGTGTGTAACGTGCAGACAACAGGTGTGTAACGTGCAGACAACAGGTGTAAAGTGCAGACAACAGGTGTGTAGGGTGCAGACAACAGGTGTAAAGTGCAGACAACAGGTGTGTAGGGTGCAGACAACAGGTGTAATGTGCAGACAACAGGTGTGTAATGTGCAGACAACAGGTGTGATGTGCAGACAACAGGTGTGATGTGCAGACAATAGGTGTGTAGAGTGCAGACAACAAGTGTAATGTGCAGACAACAGGTGTGTAGCGTGCAGACAACAGGTGTAGGGTGCAGACAACAGGTGTGTAGCGTGCAGACAACAGGTGTAACGTGCAGACAACAGGTGTGATGTGCAGACAATAGGTGTGTAGAGTGCAGACAACAAGTGTAATGTGCAGACAACAGGTGTGTAGAGTGCAGACAACAGGTGTAGCGTGCAGACAACAGGTGTGTAGCGTGCAGACAACGGGTGTAGGGTGCAGACAACAGGTGTGTAGCGTGCAGACAACAGGTGTAGGGTGCAGACAACAGGTGTGTAACTTGCAGACAACAGGTGTAACGTGCAGACAACAGGTGTGTAACGTGCAGACAACAGGTGTAATGTGCAGACAACAGGTGTGTAACGTGCGGACAACAGGTGTGTAACGTGCAGACAACAGGTGTGTAGGGTGCAGAACACAGGTGTAGGGTGCAGACAACAGGTGTAACGTGCAGACAACAGGTGTGTAACGTGCAGACAACAGGTGTAATGTGCAGACAACAGGTGTGTAACGTGCGGACAACAGGTGTGTAACGTGCAGACAACAGGTGTGTAGGGTGCAGAACACAGGTGTAGGGTGCAGACAACAGGTGTAACGTGCAGACAACAGGTGTGTAACGTGCAGACAACAGGTGTGTAACGTGCAGACAACAGGTGTGTAACAAAGCACTACGTGCTACGTGGCACAATGTCCCAATCGTTGCTGTGATGCACTACGTGTCACAATGTCCCAATCGTTGCTGTGATGCACTACGTGGCACAATGTCCCAATCGTTGCTGTGATGCACTACGTGTCACAATGTCCCAATCGTTGCTGTGATGCACTACGTGGCACAATGTCCCAATCGTTGCTGTGATGCACTACGTGTCACAATGTCCCAATCGTTGCTGTGATGCACTACGTGGCACAATGTCCCAATCGTTGCTGTGATGCACTACGTGTCACAATGTCCCAATCGTTGCTGTGATGCACTACGTGGCACAATGTCCCAATCGTTGCTGTGATGCACTACGTGTCACAATGTCCCAATCGTTGCTGTGATGCACTACGTGGCACAATGTCCCAATCGTTGCTGTGATGCACTACGTGTCACAATGTCCCAATCGTTGCTGTGATGCACTACGTGGCACAATGTCCCAATCGTTGCTGTGATGCACTACGTGTCACAATGTCCCAATCGTTGCTGTGATGCACTACGTGGCACAATGTCCCAATCGTTGCTGTGATGCACTACGTGTCACAATGTCCCAATCGTTGCTGTGATGCACTACGTGGCACAATGTCCCAATCGTTACTGTGATGCACTACGAGCACTAAGTGTCACAATGTCCCAATCGCTACTCACATTTGCCGAACCAGCCTCCCGCGGCCTCGAAAAGTCCTCCGTTCTCGGCGCAGTCTTCGTGGCACAGCCACCCCACCAGCGGCGCGATCAGTTCAGGCTTCAGCCCCTCGTACAGGTCTGGGGGAGGCAATAGTAATTATTAATTAATACTGCACCCACCTAGCACTATACTGCACCCACCTGGCACCATACTGCACCCACCTGGCACCATACTGCACCCACCTAGCACCATACTGCACCCACCTGGCACCATACTGCACCCACCTGGCACCATACTGCACCACCTAGCACCATCATGCACCCACCTAGAGGAGCGCAGCCGAGCACCACCAATTTTGTGCACCAATAAGCCCTGAATCGAACGCCTTGGATCTCTCCGGACATCCACCAATCAGCCGTGAACCACTCGGCTTTGTCCTCCTCCTCCTCCTGCCTTGCATAAAACCTGCCGTGCACCACCAGGCCGCGGAGCGAATATGACTTCCGGGCATCGTTAAGTTACGTAATTTTACGTTCACAGCATCTGAGGTTAGGTTTCAGATAGCATAGTTCTGCTCCAAAATTTATCGTCCTTCGACGAGCGGCCGTTCGACCAAAGGCTGGGTCGACGCATGGCCTGTGGTGCAGTGCAGTGGTGAGAGACTCAGTCTCTCGCACCCAGCTCCCGGGTTCGAGCCCCACTGAGGACAAGTTCTTCCGGGAAGCTCAGCTCATGGTCAACTCAGCCATTCATCCAACTCTGGTTGATAAATGAGTACCTGGCTTGTCCAGGGTGTTGTGTAATGCAATAAAATGGTTCTGGCAGGTCAGCGAGACAGTGATGGTCGCAAAACTACCAGTGGTACCGAGTGCCTGGAAAAACTGACCTATCACCCCCCTACCTAGTCGCCACTGCCAGGATGGGCAATTACAACAACAACAACAACAACAACAACGCACGGCCTAGATATGATTGTCCAAAAGTGTTGACGGCTACGTTCTGGAGGGCAGGAATCATGATGATCCATTACATCCAGGGCAGTGGTGGTCTTCGGCAGGCGATCCCCCACCTATAGCACCAAACTGCCACCACCTAGCACCAAACTGCCACCACCTAGCACCATACTGCACCACCTAGCACAATAAACTTTATATCTCCCTATATCATATAACTTATTTTAGTTTCGGACACCGCCCACGGTCACGCTGCTATGCCGACCGACGCTTTCTCCCAAACGACAAGGAGAGAATGAGATTTGCCGAACCCGCGAATTTGCTGCTAATACTTAACAAACTTAACCCCACACAGAATAACAAACTTAACCCCACACAGCCCCTTCTTAAACTTAACCCCAAGCAGAATAACAAACCTAACCTCACACAGCCCCTCCTAGCCAACACTGCCCCCCTTCCCGGTGCCCAGACTACTCTCTTTAAGCTCTTAACAGCTCCACCCTAAACCAACCCAAACTAACCCACCCTAAAACCCACAAAAACTCCCCCCCTCACACCCGGGGGGGCAGGATGTCCTGGGTGAGGCGGGTACCTATACTCCCCCCTCACACCCACCGGGGGGGCANTATACACATCTAGATGTGTATAAGAGACAGGCTATATACAGCGGTACTTAATGTGCAGCGCGGCGTTAGTTAATACGCTATATACAGCGGTACTTAATGTGTAGCGCGGCGTTTGTTAATACGCTATACGGTGGCAATTATTGTGCAGCGCGGCTTTAGTTAATACGCTATAAGGCGGTAGTTAATACACCGCATTACATCAAGCATTACATGCTGTACACCGCAGCACTGCCATGGATGACCAGGGCTGGGGTCGGGACCGTCTCCTCTCTCGCTCAGCTCTGAACTAGCAGTGCGATTATACCTGTATTTAGTACAGTGCTCAAATTATGCCTGTGTTAAGTACATTGCTCAAGTTATACCTGTATTAAGTACCTTGCTCATTTTATACCTGTATTAGGTATACCTGTATTAGGTTCAGTGCTCAATTCAAACGTCAGAACTCTGGATTGGTTGTTGAAGAGATTATGGCCGGGTTCACACCATAATGCCGGGGCTCTGGTTTGGTATTTACCAGTCACGGTCCAATCCATGCAATATTCTTTAATGCATTTATATAGAAACATTCACACCAGCCGGGCAGAGTACATGCCATGCCCGTGATGTGAATGTTTATATAGAAATGCAATAAACAATATTATATTGGACCGTGACTGGTATATGCCCGGCAGTATTGTGCAAACCGGGCCCATACATGCGGGCAGCGCGTCTGTAGTTACCATAGATGCCGGCAACGTACCTGTAGTTGGCCTGACCAAAGTTGCCATAGATGCCGGCAACGCACCTGTAGTTGGCCTGGCCGAAGTTGCAATAGATGCCGGCAACGCACCTGTAGTTGGCCTGGCCAAAGTTGCCATAGATGCCGGCAACGCACCTGTAGTTGGCCTGGCCAAAGTTGCCATAGATGCCGGCGACGCACCTGTAGTTGGCCTGGCCGAAGTTGCCATAGATGCCGGCGACGCTGCTCGTCATGATGATCCTGCCGTATTTCTGCTGCTTGAGGTGCGGGAAGGCGGCGCGCGTCACTTGGAAGGCGCCGCGCAGGTGAACCGCGTGGACCAAATCTGCACGCGCCGTATGAAATTGCTGTTAAAATATGAATTTTTACCCCCTTAAAGTTAAGGGGTAAAGGTTAAGATTCCCTTATGCTGTAAAAATATTGTTTACCCCCTTAAAAGTAAGGGGTAAATGTTGAAGATCCCCTTTTCTTAGCCTGACCCTTGTTCAGTATTTGAAGACAGCACCGCGCGAACCAAATCTGCACGTGTCACAACAAATTGCTGTTAAATATGAATTTCTACCCTTTTAATGTAAGGGGCAAGGGTAAAGATGCCCTTACTATCTTAGCCTGGCCCTGGTTCAGTATTTAAGGAAGGACACTGATTCATATTGTATTCGTTGATGGATCCCCGTATCTTAGACTGGCGCAGGTTAAGTATTTCAAACAGAAAAATTAGAGTATATAGCAAGAGAATAGCACCGAAACCGGCCTACACGCACAGCAATCATTACAGAAAATTTGTAATTAATGCATACTGTTTTTATTTTATTTGACCCGGATTGATTTATGACGTTCTTCTAACATTGATTCATTGGTCATCGTCATGATTTATGATTGTCAGCAGGATAGTAGGAAAGGTATACGGAGTTCACAGCCAAATTTAGAGTATATCAAAACAATTTTTACAAAAATTCATTGTTCAAAATTTGACAGGCTAGTCGAACGTTAAGATTTAAAACGTTAAATAAATATGAAGATATTGGCGATTGAATCAGAATAAATTATTTGTGGTTTTCTCGATCATTTTCTGCACATAGTATAGATGGGACTATGAGATATATTACATTTTCGAAGGTAGCAGTTTACCCATACATGAAAGATCGGCAACTAATACCAACACAGGTTAGTATTCGTTAATTGTCCACGAATATATACAAGCTAACGACGATTAGTAAGCGACTAATCAGCACGCGAATAAATTAAAATATTAAATTAAATTAATTAAAAAATAAGACTATCTGTAAAATGATCTCGAACAGTCAAGTAAAATTAGCTTCGAAACCTTCCGACTCACTTGAAAACATCATAAGTGAATTTTTCCTGCAAAAAATTAAATCTTAAAAACTTTGTCCCTGTAAATTAAATATTACATTGTTAAAAAACAGCAAAAATGAAAGTCGTGAAATTTGATACATATAATTCAGTAGACTTTCTTCAGTAAACTTTTATATCAGGTGCCCGTATATATGCTTTTTTTTCTGTTCTCTTGCATAATGTTAGGTGTTCTGAGCTTCTTTTGTTAATACATCAACAGTTAAGTTAATAAGTCGAAAATAACGACTGCAGAGCCGTGCACAAGGATGGCACTACACGACACTGCCACCACGACACTGCCACCACCACACTGCCACCACCACACTGCCACCACGACACTGCCACCACGACACTGCCACCACCACACTGCCACCACCACACTGCCACCACGACACTGCCACCACGACACTGCCACCACGACACTGCCACCACCACACTGCCACCACGACACTGCCACCACCACAGTGCCACCACGACACTGCCACCACCACAGTGCCACCACGACACTGCCACCACCACAGTGCCACCACGACACTGCCACCACCACACTGCCACCTGCCACCCCAGACAGGCACTAAGGCCAGGCAGTGTAAGTGATACTGTCAGCCTCATCACGTGAGCTGTGCGTGGTGAAGGTAGACTAGCTTCTTCATCACGTTACATTATTCATCACCATGCATTTATCATTCTCAGATGCACCGTCGAAATTTGGCTACAATAACTATTGTGAATGATATACATAAGCTACAATAACAATAGTGAATGATATACCTAACCTACAATAACAATAGTGAACAATATACCTAAGCTATAATAACAATAGTGAACAATATACCTAAGCTACAATAACAATAGTGAACAATATACCTAAGCCACAATAACAATAGTGAACGATATACCTAAGCTACAATTACAATAGTGAATGATATACTTAAGCTACAATAACAATAGTGAACGATATACTTAAGCTACAATAACAATAGTGAACGATATACTTAAGCTGCTATAACAATAGTGAACGATATACCTTAGCTAAACTTTACAAAAATCTATGATCTGGTAATGGGCCGCTATATAGGCGCGTTCGCGATACAAAATTTACCAAAAATCATTAAGGTCAAAATTGGACTACACGTCAGCACTATTTACCTATCTTGCACTTCATTTCATCGATCATCACTTTATTCTTCCTTATATTATCATTCTGCTTATATCGCAAGTTCACAAAGAATTCAAAAGCAAATAAACCGCCAAGCAAATTCACCGTATAGATATTGAAATCGATATGGTGAATTATTATCAAATATCGATATGGTGAATTTGTTTGGCGTTTTCTTTGCTTTTAAATTGTTGCCATTGTTAATTCTTCCTGACCCGAGTTTTTCTTGTATTTCATCAGAATACAAACCAGGGGCCATACTTTCGAAACTTGCTAAGTGAACGTAAGTACTTACGCTCTATTTTCTTGTCTATGATTGGTGGATTTTGCTGTAAAGGCCGTCAATGATTGGCTGATGAACTTACGATCTCTTGACTTTTTTTGAAAGTATTGGACCAGAACTTGAGGATCACTCAATACGCACGTCACTCACTCCTAGGAAGCTTTTACGTCAAATGTGCAATTTTTGCCGAGCTTTCTTTCTTTGCAGAACACAAAACCTATATAAAATAACTTTCAGGGAGCTCTCATCACTCATCCTGGCTCAGCCGCCTTACTTTCTTCACTACAATACATATTTATCAACTAATTGAGAATTTTCCTTTCATTTACGAAATACATATGAGAGAAGAAGTTAACATTGGCAGACAAGACAGCGAAGGAAGACATATACGCACCCCAGTCAACTAATAAATAATTTTCCTTTGATTCACGAAATAAATATGAGAGATGAAGTCAACATTGGTAAACAAGGCAGCGAAGAAAGACATACACACCCCAGTCAAAAAATAGAGAATTTTACTTTGATTTACGAAATACACAAGAGATACAGAGATAAGAAATTAATATTGGTAAACAAGACAGCGCAGGAACACATACGCACCCCAGTCAGCATCACTCATCCTGGCTCAGCTGCCTTACCTTCTTAACAACAATTATACAATATTCAACTAATTGAGAATTTTCCTTTGATTAATGAAATGCATATGAGAGAAGAAATTAATATTGGGAAACAAGACAGCAAAGAAAGACATATGCGCTACTCATCCTGGCTCAGCTGCTTGACTTTCTTATCAAACTAATTGATAATTTTCCTTTTATTTATGAAATACATAAGAGAGAATATGTAAATATTGGAAAATAAGACAGCAAAGAAAGACATACACACCTCAGTCAACTAATAGAAAATTTTTCTTTGATTTACGAAACACTTATAAAATATGAAGTTAATATTCGTAAACAAGACAGCGCAGGAAGACATATATGCACCCCAGTCAGCCTCACTCATCCTAGCAAATAATAATAAATAAGACAGCAAATAAATAAACAAGACAGTGAAGGAAGACATATACGCACCCCAGTCAGCCTCACTCATCCTAGCAAATAATAATAAATAAGACAGCAAATAAATAAACAAGACAGCGAAGGAAGACATACACACCCCAGTCAGCATCACTCATCCTAGCTCAGCTGCCTTGCCTTATTCACAACAAATACACAATATTCAACTAATACAGAATTTTCCTCTGATTTACGAAACACTTATGAGAGATGAAGTTAATATTAGAAAATAAGACAGCGAAGGAAGACATACACACCCCAGTCAGCGTCACTCATCCTAGCCTTATTCACAACAAATACACAATATTCAACTAATACAGAATTTTCCTCTGATTTACGAAACACTTATAAAAGCTGAAGTTAATATTGGTAAACAAGACAGTGAAGGAAGACGGTACACACCCCAATCAACTACCGGTATATACAGCATCTTTCTTTGATTTACAAAATTAATATGAGAGATGAAGTTAATATTAGAAAATAATACATCAAATGAAGACATACGCACCCCAGTCAGGTAATAGAGAATTTTCCGTTGATTTATGAAACACTTATAAAAAAGAAATTAATATTGGTAAAAGCACCCAGTCAAGTAATGGAGAATTTTCATTTGATTTACGAAACACTTATGATAGAAGAAATTAATATTAGAAAATAATACAGCAAATGAAGACATATACGCACCCCAGTCAGCGTCAGTCATCCTGGCAAATAATAATAAATAAGACAGCGAATAAATAAGACAGCGCAGGAAGACATATATGCACCCCAGTCAGCGTCACTCATCCTGGCTCCGCTGCCTTACTTTCTTATCAAACAGATTGAGAATTTCCCTTTTATTTACGAAACACTTATAAAAGATGAAGTTAACATTAGAAAATAATACAGCAAATGAAGACATACACACCCCAGTCAGCATCAGTCATCCTAGCAAATAATAATAAATAAGACAGCAAATAAATAAACAAGACAGCAAATGAAGACATATGCACCCTAGTCAAGTAATTGAGAATTTTCCTTTGATCTACGAAACAACTATGAGAGAAGAAGTTGACATTGGAAAATAAGACAGCAAATGAAGATATATACGCATCCCAGTCAGCTATATACATATATATAGTCAGATGGGGTAAGACAGGACCGAAATCACTAACAAGCCCGTAGCATCTATACCATGAATAATTAAAAAATCCTAAACATATCACAAGGTGTATCTATGCAATAGGCTTCTAAGCTACAACTCTGACATTTTGCATCTAACATAGTTTTCTGTACAGATTAAAAAAAGTGAGCTGGTCCCATCTTACCCCATTGGGGTAAGATGGGACCAGGCATGGGGTAAGACCTNCACAAAAGCTGAAATGACAGGCAATGATTGCTCTAACATATTCTTTTGTCAAATTAAATTCAGTGCAATTAGAATGCACGCCATGGGCCGGTCCTTTCTTACCCCATGAAGGCTGCGATCCTGTCTTACCCCATTTGACTATACAGAATTTTTCTTTGTTTTACGAAATTAATATGAGAGATGAAGTTAACATTGGAAAATAATACAGCAAATGAAGACATACGCACCCCAGTCAGCGTAATAATAATAATAATAAATAAGACAGCAAATAAATAAACAAGACAGCAAATGAAGACATACGCACCCCAGTCAGCGTCACTCATCCTGGCAAAGCTCTTGTCCCTGAGGATGCCAGCGTTGTTGACGACGATGTCAACGCGACCGAAGTTGCTGATGGCGGTCGCCACGATGGCTGCACCGTCCTCAACGCTGTGGTAGTCTGCTACTGCACTGCCACCTTCAGGAATAGTATGGTGCGTTGTATGAGGTGCTGCATGTGTGGTGCTCATGTGGTGCATGTGTGGTGCACGTGTGGTGCATGTGTGGTGCACGTGTGGTGCACGTGTGGTGCACGTGTGGTGCAAATGTGGTGCACATACAATGTGGTGCACATACAATATGGTGCACATGTACAATGTGGTGCATGTACAATGTGGTGCACAAACAATGTGGTGCACATACAATGTGGTGCACATACAATGTGGTGCATGTACAATGTGGTGCATGTACAATGTGGTGCATGTACAATGTGGTGCACAAACAATGTGGTGTACATACAATATGGTGCACATGCAATGTGGTGCACATACAATATGGTGCGCATGCAATATGGTGCGCATGCAATGTGGTGCACATACAATGTGGTGCACAAACAATGTGGTGCACGTACAATGTGGTGCACAAACAATGTGGTGCACATACAATGTGGTGCACATACAATGTGGTGCATGTACAATGTGGTGCATGTACAATGTGGTGCATGTACAATGTGGTGCACAAACAATGTGGTGTACATACAATATGGTGCACATGCAATGTGGTGCACATACAATATGGTGCGCATGCAATATGGTGCGCATGCAATGTGGTGCACATACAATGTGGTGCACAAACAATGTGGTGCACATATAACATGGTGCACATACAATGTGGTGCACACTCAGTGTGTGGGTCTGCTTCATGTGTTGGAACTTGTTATTTAATTCACATAATATATTTTAAACATTTATGGTACACATATTTAGAATATAAGCAAAGGTATTAATTGAAAAGTTGCAATAGTGAAGGCAATGATATTATTAATTATTTAGTTCTATTCACCACTAAGACAAAGTAACTAGCAGCTGTCGGATAGATTTCACAATTACGATGAAATTTTTCGAGTAAACTAACATCACTCATTAGCTTGTTTAGGGCAACAACCAATAGTGCGCACCCATATTAACATGCACATGGATTTGTCTACATGCCTGAACACTATGCTATGAAACAGCCATACATGAAATGCTAGGGTGACATCAGCCATTCATCAGGGGGTAAAACTCAGCCATTCACCATATTTGATGGTGAATAATTGGAATAAACAAGAAGTGCGACTCCTAGAGCAATGATTCAATGATCTGTACGGGCCATACGGCTTAATTATCTTACACAATTTATAAGCAAACATACCTTTAGACCGGATCTCATTGACGACATCATCAGCAGGCCGGCTGCTGGCACCGTGGCCGTCCCTGGCCACCCCCAGGTCATTCACCACCACCTTTGCCCCGCGGCTGCCAAACAGCAGCGCGTATGCTTTCCCCAGGCCTGAGCCATACAAATATACCTACATTTATCAATTTTTTTAGGAAAGTTGTCTTATTATAACATCATCAAACAATTAAATTTATGATGTGCAATGGATATTGAGCACATTCTCTACATTCTAAAACAATATTGTAACAAAAGCATTTATTGATTCAAATTTTCAAGTTTGAAAATAAATTTCAAAGCCAAAATTTCAAGATAAATTCTTATAAAGATTTGAGCTTGTTCTCTTGAATGCCTTCAGTAGGCTAGTACAATCGACTCAACCATTGAGAGATGAAAGACGTGAATGAAGACATTGAGAAAATGACCTACCTTTTGCTTTTTGCACACTACTATCAGTACTATGACTTTAGACATCAACTTGCAATGTCATTTGACATGCATCTGAGGTATGGCAAGCTTCAGTATCTTTAGTTTGATAAACAAAATTGACAAAGTTTAATGTCTATCCAAATTTTCTTAAAACATTTATTTTAAAAAATTCCAAATGATGCCTGGACTCTTTTGAAAATTAAAATTTTCAAGTATAGTCAGATGGGGTAAGACAGGACCAAAATCACTAACAAGCCTGTAACATCTATACCGTACCAAGAATAACTAAAAAACTCTAAACCTATCACAAGGTGTAGTTATGCAATGGGCTTCTAAGCTACAACTCAGACGTTTTGCATCTAACACAGTTTTCTGTACAGATTAAAAGAAGTGAGCTGGTCCCATCTTACCCCATTGGGGTAAGATGGGACCAGGCTGGGGTAAGAAAGGACCAACTGGTAATTCTTATGTTACAAGGTTTTTCATAAAAGTACAAATCTGATATTCAATATTATCCATCTAGAAACACATTATTTGATTAAACAACCACTTGTTACTGTTTTGTATTGTGGGAAGTCAACTCTAATATCAGTCACAGAAGTTTTTGTCATGAGAAAACTTTGTTTAGTATAGTAATAGTGGGTTGGCTTTGGTTCATTGAAGAGCACTGCTATATGCTTCATGTATATTCCATTAGTGTCATTGTCTGAAAAATTTATCAAATTGGTAATAAAACCAATGGATAATAACTCAAGTGTCAGACGTCATGCGTTTTCTTGCTAACTATATTTGTGGTGCACTTCTTCTAACATAACTCATGCCCTCTCACAGAGTTGTGATCATAATTATTTTTCATGTTTCACACAATGATTTTTCCTCCTACCAATCTTGCACATAGTTCTGCAGCTCACTAATGGGAATGGACAATGGACATCCCTATTTTCTATATCCCTTTGATGCAATTTAAAATAGTGCACTAAATTTCTCTAATTAAAAAAGCTAACAAGTTATAATGAAGTTTGAGCAAAAGATGAAAATTTTGACCAAAATACTCCATCTACTACATAATAATATATTCATTTAAAAACTATTTTTGATAAACTGTAGGGCAAAAGAGGACCATTTGTGGGGTAAGACAGGACCATTTGTGGGGTAAGATAGGACCACTTGTGTGGTAAAACAGGATCATTTAGTGGTCCCGTCTTACCCCATGTGTGGTCATTTTTTACCCCATTTTAGAATACATGTTTTAGAATACATGTCAGGCAGTGATGGTAGCAGGTAGGAATGCCAAGTATGTCTCAAAAGTTGCTTCTTACTTGAGGTTACCTGCCTACATCCACAAACCTGGCCAAATTTTTTTTTGTCAGTAGACAGAGCTTATTTCCCAAACAGGGTTAACTATTTTGTGACCCTTCTTTCCATAGGTTTTCTTTAAAAATTAGCCAGAAATTCATTATTTGCAGAAGAGGGTTGCCACAAAAGCTGAAATGACAGGCAATGATTGCTCTAACATATTCTTTTGTCAAATTGAATTCAGTGCAATTAGAATGCACGCCATGGGCTGGTCCTTTCTTACCCCATGAAGGGTGCGATCCTGTCTTACCCCATTTGACTATAAGTGAAATGACAGTACTTACCATTGCCAGCTCCAGTCACAATAGCTACTCTTCCATTGAAGAGAAGAGACATGATTGGTAAACTACCTAGAGTGGAATAACAGGAATTTAGGAGTTTATAAATATTATAGTCAGAAGAGTGGAATAACAGGAATTTGGGAGTTTATAAATATTATAATCAGAAAAATATCCATGTAAATTAAATATGTACAGATTATTAATTTTTTAAAGGAAGTTCCATAAATTGCAAATCACACTAGATTTCCTGGTACCTAGCGTGGTAACTGGTAGGCAATTCCCAATTCCTGAAAATCCTAGGTCCTAGCCCCTAGGTAATTTTCCTGTTTGGGATATTTACCTATTATAGAATTTATAGTCTAGGACTCTAGGTAAACATGCAAAACAGGAAAATTTCTACTACATGAGCCCCAAATGCAGCTTTCCTGCATTACAATCAGCAAGAATTGAGCCAATTCGAATATTGTGGAAAAGCGTGGATAAAAATGCACAAATAATGAGCTGCATTCTGCTAGCAGCTAGCCTACACAATAACAATTAAACCAAACGGCAAACTGTGAGACATTGAAAAATTGAGATTTTCAATAAAAAACTCTACCTTTCAGCCAGATATTTAAATACCTATGAAATGTGAATGATAATTTTCAATGAATTCAAGATAGTTGAAAATTAAGGAATAACAGAAGAGGCAAATGGGCAATAGCCAATAGCTACCTAGTACCTATTACTTTTATAGTTTTACTCAGCCAGTCAGCCTATTATTAGCCTACTGAGCTACTATTACCTACTCTTTACTCAATACTCAGTCAATAGTATTAAGGACTTGCAAAATTCATGATATGATAAATTTTGAGGCTGAGAGATCAGGCCAGCAAAACAATAAACCTTTTCAACTACATAATTTCCCTTATCAGTTGCAGAATGAGTTGCTATCTACTTATCAATTGCAATAATTGCAGGCTAGCAACACATAAAACAGAACTTTCTGTTATGCCGGAAATTTTGACGACTTCCAATGTCCCGCCAGAGGCGAATCAATTAATTAGGTTAGATGCAAACTATGTCTTGCCAGAAGGGAGCGAACGCCTTGGATCTCTCCGGATATCCACCAATCAGCCGTGCACAACTTGGCTTTGTCCTCCTCCGGCCTTGACCACCACCTGCCGTGCACCACCAGGCCGCGGATCGAACATGACTTCCGGGCATCGTTAATTTACTGTGGTAATCACCATTTAGCGTTTAGCTTGCCTGTATGGCAACAAGATAGTCATTGTGGTAACCCGTTGTACAGTGTGTTCTCAGTTCGTAATAAAGCTCTGCCCACTACGGTGTCACCTCACTTGGCCCTTTATACCTTAAACCTCGGTCACATCACCGCATCTGGGGTTAGGTTTCAGATAGCAGTTCTGTTCCAAAATTTATCGTCCTTCGACAAGTGGCCGTTCGACCGAGGGCTGGTTCGACCCACGGCCTAGATACGGACGGCTTGAAGTGTTGAAGGCTACGTTCCGGAAGGCAGGAATCATGGTGGTCCATTACATCCAGGGCAGTTGCCAGAAGCAGCATAGCACACAATGTGTGACACAGAAAAGTTATCCCCGCAACTCATTTTCTAGGAACGTTGCTCGCCTATTATAATTTAGCGAAGTTACCAATATACACTAACTCCATATTGTCATGACTGCTTAAATAATTAATAATCAATAATTATTAATTTATAATAATAATTAATATGGTGCTTGTACACGGGGATAGTGCAGACGGCTAGTAAATCTGGCAAGTGTCGGTCGCTTGCTGACTATCCGGCAAATAAAGGTGCTTATACACGGGACTATTAGTTGCGTCTACTACAGTTTTGCAGGTTGCGAGCACGAGAGTTTTCCGTACACTGCGCCCGCGTCAGTGCGACGTTGGGAGCTGTCGAGTAAGGGCGTGCACGGTGGAGTCACGCGAGAGCAAGAAAGCAGTGCGCGCTACAGTGGGCGAGACAGAGAGAGAACGACTCAGCTATGCTCGGTATGACGACCGGGCGGCTACTGAGTACTGAGCGCAATACAGATGGTATATTTCCATACCAGATTTCACAAATCTGGTATTTTCAGAAGATGTCTGGGATGAATATTTAGATCTGGTATATTTGCCTAAATCTGGTATTTTCTGACTTTGCTGCAAATTTACTTCATTAAGTTTCACCTCTGAAGTTTGAACTTCCTCCAGCGTAGGCGTGGATTATATAGCATAAATTACCTTCAGAGCGGCGTGACTAGAGGTTTCCCGCCAGTTTGGAACCGCAAGTTTACCGTTTGATGAAATAACCCCAAGCTAATTGTTAACATATAACAAAAGTGCTTAGTGCAATATAAGAACGAGAGTGATGATCCTTAATTGATTACTGATTAGTGATGATATGGCCTAGGACGCGTGAGGTTGTCGAATCGATCTCAACGACGCAAGCTCCACCATTTTTGTTTAATGGTTTTGAATTCCAGAGTGCCACTTATTGGAGTACCACT